CTTTATATCACAGATCAGAGACTGGGCATCGCTCCCAGCCAGCCAGCACACTGGGTAGGGACTGGTAGTAGGCATCTCGCCAACCAGCTCCAAGCCCTAGTAAAGCCTGGTAATACTAATAAACGCCTTATCTAGAATCGTACCTCATCATGAGGATACGGTTCCTGACCACGCGTAACAATCTTCTATTATTAGTACAAGTCTCTCACCTGCTGATTAATCAAGTCAGAAGTCGTACGATAGTTACTCTCCCTTTTTCCTATTGGTTGATTAATTCCTCAGACCACTTTTTGTATATTCTCCTTTCGGTCTGAGGAACGGACAGTTCTCTATATAAAGACGTACCTATTCATGTATAGCTCCTTAGCTTTCTATTACTGAATTTACCCGCTTTACTCCTCAACAAGAACCTTTGAAGCTTACCTCTCAAAGTCCTCTACTCGCTATATTTCTAGCGTCTGTCGACCTCAAAGCTCATTGGACCCTTACTCCCTGCAAGTGCAGAAGGAGATAGGTTTAGTTTTTGTTATAGTTTATCGTTGCCTCACAGAAAGGTAATTTCTTCATCTTTCCTAAAGCACAAGGTTCACAAAACTCCGGGGTTCCGGTAAGGGTGTCTATGTCCTGGAGCTGTCTTTTTGTAACCATTCGTTGCAAGTGGTCCATTCCAATGTGTCCCATTCTCCTGTGCAATAAATTTACATCTACTGCTGCAAAAGCTGACTCCGGGTTGATTTCGGGTTTTGCTTGGATGTGATAAAGTCCTCGCTTGTGTAACACAGTGAGGATAAGTTCCTCCTTTTTCCGAACTTCACAAGCATTTGACCCTGCTGGAAAAAGTGTTGATAACCCCGTTTTGGACAATTTGTGGACAGAGACGAGTGCTAATGTGAAGTTTGGCACAAGTAAGACATTTGACAGTGCAATATTGTAGTCCTTTTTGCCAACAGTTGCTTGTAGGATTACTGTTCCAATGCCAATGGCATTTACAGAGGATTCATCCCCAAAACTGATTGTCCTCGGAGGATGCAGAACATGGTATGTTCCTGGCTCAAACCAGGAGCGGTGAGAGACCATGTGGGATGTTGCTCCGGAGTCAATAATAATTGTTGTTTTGGTCTTATTGGGTTCTGACACAAGGTAAGCTTGAATGTGTTTAGCAAGGGGCTTGGAAATATGTACATGTTCCAATGCAATATGACTCTGTTCCTCCTCGGAGTCAGATCCAGATGATTGCTCCGCCATATTTGCCTTCTCCTTCTCTTTTCCTTTATCCTTGTGTCTTTCCTTTTCCTTCTTCCTTTGACCTTTTTCAGCTGACTGAAGTGTTTGACACTCCAAGGTGTTGTGTGATTTGGCTTTGTGGAAGTTACACCATTTCTCCTCGGATTTGAGTGCTGATTCAGAACCTCCAGGGGCCTTCCCTGACTGCCGTGCAACTTCTGCAGTGATCCGGATCTCAACTGCATCAAAGGTAAGTTTATTTTCTTCAATCGTGTTGATTACTGATGACTGAAATATTTGCCATTCAGGAGTGCATGGGAGAGATTGGAGAAGAGCGAAAGCCATGAGTTTGGTATCAACTCCTAGTTTCATTCCGGAGAGGTGTGAATCAATTGTCCGGATTTTTGCAATGTGGTCCTGGATAGGTGATGTCCCATCCCAGGACAATTTGGTGAGTTGCTGGAATGAATAGAAGGCCGAGGCAATGTTGGACGTTTGATAAAGTGAGACAAGTTTATCAAATAACTCCTTGGAGCTGGTGAGGTCTCTAGTCCTCATTAGGAGGGCATCAGAGATGTGGTCCTGGATGATTCTATGTGCCTTCTCATCCTTAAGTATCCAGGTGATCTCAGGATCCTCCGAGGAGGTAGGTTTTCCTGGTGAGGGCTTAAGCTCCTCTCCAGTAACAACCCGGAGAACTTTTTCCCGACGTAGCTTTGAGATGATCCGGAGTTTCCATATCTGAAAATTGTTGGGTCCAGTGAGAACTGGACATGCGGATGTATCGCGTGCTGTGGTCATGGTTCCGAGGTTGCCGTTTCAAATAAGAATTATTTCCTGCGTAGCTTTTGCGCACCAGGGCTCATAACCTAATAAACCTAAGTGAAACTCAGCCGCTGCCTGAGAGGCTATAGAAACGACTTTATTATTTACCTAAGTGAAACTACAATAGATGTTAGTTTAAGGTGATCTCTAATAAATGTAATGTAACATACCTCAGCCGCTGCCTGAGAGGCTATAGAAACGACTGAGGTATTCCTATACTAAACCCCCTACTACTTATAGTTGGAGGTGCTACTCGCTACAGTATAATGACTCCTAGGAGAACAATGGTTACTCCATGGAGTGGTGGCTATGCTCCATGGAGAACAATGGCTGCTTCGGCAGAGACCGGGTTTATCCGGTTTTGTCAAGTGGGGCAACAAATACACAAATGTGTCTACTCCCTGGAGTATCTGCACAAGTTCTTAAAAGAGCAGTCATGCCTGCTGAAGTCCTAGGAGTACACAGAAGCAGTCACCAGACCTGTCCTGCAGACAAAAACCGAGATTATCAAAGGACTCTAGATGAGGAACAGTCTTGAAAAGAGCAGCATGACAACTCCATGGAGAAACCTAACACTCCTGAGGTTCATGAAGAAACATCTGATACAGAGGAGACATTCTTTGCTGGAATAGCAAGTACTGGTCCATCTAACACAGACCTTCCAAGGACACTAAAGGAAGCCTTATCACGTCTGGATGGAGAATTATGGAAGTCTGCCTTGGAGGAGGAACTCCTAAGTCTCAATACTAATGCAGTATATGACACTGTTCCACTTCCGAAGGGAGTAAAACCCATCACATCAAAACCTGTGTTCCAGATCAAGTTTGATCAAAACGGAAACATTGAGAGATACAAACTCCGGATTGTTGCACGAGGTTTTACTCAAAGGGAGGGGATTGATTACCAGGAGGTTTTTGCTCCGGTTGCAAACTTAGAGTCAATCCGAATTATTCTAGCCCTGGCAGCAAAGTACAACCTAGAACTTGATCAAATGGATGTATCCACAGCTTATCTCAATGGAGAACTTGAAGAAAAACTGTACATGCTTCCTCCAGGGGGTATTCCTATCCAACCTGGATACTGCTGGAGATTGAAGAAATCCATCTACGGGTTAAAACAAGCTGGTCATACATGGAACAAAACTTTTAATCGCAAGCTCCAGGAGCTCAGTTTCACAAGACTAAATGCAGAAACATGTCTCTATGTATTCCGGGACAACAAACACATATGCTTTGTTGTTGTCTATGTAGATGACCTCCTCCTAGGAGCTTCATCCCGGAAATTCATGGATATCACAAAAGCCAAACTCGAATCCATATTCAAAATGCGGGACCTTGGAGAAGCAAAATACATCCTCGGAATGGAAATCCAACATGATCGTTCAAACAAAACAATATCCCTATTGCAACGCCAATGCATTGACACAGTCCTGGAGCGTACTGGAATGAAAAACTGCAAACCAGTATGGACACCAATGGCCCATGGATCAAAACTCCTTGCAAATGCTCCAGGGGAAGATATTGTGCAACATGAGATGCATATTGAAGGGTGTCAAGTGTCATACCTCTCAATTATAGGCTCCCTCATGTATGCCATGCTCAGAACCCGCCCAGACATTGCCTACATTGTTAGAATACTAAGCAGACATAGCTCAGCTCCAAGAAGCCATCACTGGGAAGCTGCAAAATGTGTCCTCTGATATCTGAAAGCAACCAGGGACATGGAACTACAATATGATGGCACAGATGTCTCCATGGACATGGATTTCTATGGATATTCAGATGCAGATTGGACTGGAGACCCAGACACGTCTCGATCAACATCAGGGTTTGTCTTTATCACCATCCAAGGAGCAATCTCCTGGACAAGCAAAAGACAAAGCATGGTAACTTTATCCTCCACGGAGTCAGAGTACATTGGATTGAGCAATGCTGGACAACACCTTGCATAGCTTCGGACATTTTTTGAAGAAATTGGATATGCTCAAAATGGACCTACAACATTGCACTGTGACAATCAAGCAGCTATCATTCTTACACGAGATCCACAGTTCCGTGCTCGCACAAAACACATTCAACGGAAATATCATTTTATCTGAGATGACTTAGTATCAAAGGGAGAGGCAGTAATCAGATACGTTCCTACAGGAGATATGGTTGCAGACATTCTCACTAAACCCCTCACTCACAAAAAACACTGGAAATTCTCTAAAGCTATGGGACTATGGTTGCACTCGAGTGGGAGTGACAAAACCAGATAAACCCGGTCTCTGCCGAAGCAGCCATTGTTCTCCATGGAGCATAGCCACCACTCCATGGAGTAACCATTGTTCTCCATGGAGTAACCATTGTTCTCCTAGGAGCACAATTGTACTCCTAGGAGTCATTATACTGTAGCGAGTAGCACCTCCGACTATAAGTAGTAGGGGGTTTAGTATAGGAATACCTCAGTCGTTTCTATAGCCTCTCAGGCAGCGGCTGAGGTATGTTACATTACATTTATTAGAGATCACCTTAAACTAACATCTATTGTAGTTTCACTTAGGTAAATAATAAAGTCGTTTCTATAGCCTCTCAGGCAGCGGCTGAGTTTCACTTAGGTTTACTAATTAGATGGTATGAGATACTCAAGATAGTAAATTAAAAAGGAATGTCAAATGATTGTGGTCAGTATTGGTGGATGCTGTAGTGAGAGAGAGGCAAAATGCTGACCTGAAGACCATATTCTATTGATTCCTTAATATTATGTATGTTACCTTAAAAGCTCAAACTATGCCCTTCTTATTATATCCTAGTGAGCTCATAATATTCACTAAATCACGGTCTAACTAACCAAACTATATACTGTAACAATGATGTAGAATCCTCAAAATAATATGTCAATAGTTATAGTTCAATGTTGCATACATATTTCATTTTGTTAGAGCTACTATTTATATGCTCAACTCTAACCTACTTACTAACCATATTATGTACTAATAACATATTTTGCATAGTTTTCAATGTATCTGGGTGTTCAGACCCAAGCTGCCTTATCCTGCCATCTAAAGCTCTGGTGCCTAATACCTTAGCCTCACCATACCTTCCCATTGAATGGTACAAGCATGCTATATGGTTCACAGTTGACAATGTATCTGGATGTTCAAGGCCTAACTGTTTTTCCCTGCCTACTAAAGCCCTGCCATACCATGTTTCAGCTTCATCATGGTTGCCTTGTAAATGATACATCAAAGCCAGATTATTCACAGTCTTTAATGTGTCTGGATGTTCAGATCCAAGCTGTTTCTCCTGGCCTGTCAGAGCTCTGTCATGGAATGTCTTAGCTTTGATGTACTGTCCTTGCAAACAGTATATTGATGCCAAGCAATTCAATGTTGCCAGTGTCCTTGGATGGCTGGAACCAAGTTGCTTTTCCCTGCCTCCCAAAGCCTTCTCAAATAACGCCTTAGCCTCATCATATCTTCCCAATGAGGTGTATACAATGGCCAGGTTATTCAAAGTTACTAGTGTAAGTGGATGGTCAGAACCAAGCTTCTTCTCGCATCTCAATAAAACCTTCTCAAGCAGTGCTTCAGCTTCACTATATTTTCCCTGAAAATCATACACTAATGCCAGATTATCCATGGTTGTCATTGTTTTTGGATTTTCAGGACCAAGCTGTTTCTCCCAGCCTGATAAAGCCCTCATAAACAATGCCTCAGCTTCACTGTATTTTCCTTGTGATTTGTAAACTAGTCCCAGGTTGTTGACAGTTATTAATGTGGACAGATGTTCAAATCCAAGAAGCTTCTCTCTGCCTGCCAAAGCCCTTTTATACAACTGCTCAGCTTCACCATACTTTCCCTGTGAATCATATACTGATGCCAGGTTATCCACACTAGCCAGTGTATCTGGATGACCAGGACCAAGCTGCTTCTCCCAGCCAACCAAAGCCTTCCTATATAGTGCTTCTGCTTCATTGTATCTTGCTTGTAATTTGTATGCAAGTGCCAGGTTGTTCATTGCTCCCAATGTGTGTGGATGTTCAGGGCCAAGTTGATATTCTCTAGATGTAACAGCCCTCTTATACAATGCCTCAGCTTCCCTATACTTTCCCTGCGAATGATATACTGATGCCATGTTATTCACCATTGTTAGTGTGTCTGTATGTTCAGCACCAAGATTCTTCTCGAAGCCTGCCAAAGCCCTCTCACTTAGCATTTCGGCTTCACTGAATTTCCCTTGGGATCTATACACCAATGCTAGGTTATTCACAGTTTCAAGTGTGGAGGGATGTCCAAAACCAAGCTTCTCTCTGCCCGTCAAAGCTCTTCCATACAATGACTCAGCTTCGCCATACCTTCCCAGCGAATTGTATGCTGATGCCAAGTTATGTACACTATCCAGTGTGTCCGGATGTTCAGGTCCAAGCCTTTGTTCCCTACATCTCAGGGTTTGGTGAAATATTGCCTCGGATTCCGTATATCTTCCCTGAGCCATCATGTACTTTGCCATGGCTATCCTCGCACGTACAAGCTGCATGTTTGCGCTGTGAATATCATCCACATTTGCCAACGACTCCACATGTGAAGCAATCATGGCACACTGCAGCCAACACTTGGGGGACACAACATCGTCCACATTGTCCACTGCAGCCCAGATCAGCTTGACGGCGCAGTCAAAATATTCTTGCCACTGCCCTCCCTTCTTTACCGTCTCTCTGATCATAAAATTGACCAGATCATGCATATGGAGGACAGTAGCAGTATCATTACAATCGAGGAGCGACAGCCTCTGCAACTGCCGTATAACCCGAGGTAAACGGTGAGGCGAAGCTATCAGAGAAGCCAATACAGCCTCTAATGAGGAACCCCCCGCTGTCATTGCATCTTTTGTGTGAAGATGCTCTTCAGCGACGAACGGTCCCCGTCTATTCACAGTACGTGAGTTCATATCAGACTCGTATTTTAGAGCCAAGCTTCCCGACGAACGAGATGCATTCAAGTTAGCAAGTATCTTTTGAGCTCCGCATGTAAGGACCTCGAGGGCGATATTTTCTGCATCAAAAAAAGAGAGTAATTTGAGGAAATTAGCGGCAGCAGAGTCCTCCTGAAGTGCGCAATCTAGAAGACTGTTGAACACAACAGCAACAGACTTTTCCTCGTAAACGCCAAGGTCATTCTCCCATTCAATCATCTTCCCAGAAATACATGAGCAAAATACAACGGTCTTGCGGGAAAGAAAATACATACCTCCGCTTTATGAGTGGTGTCTTGGTACAACGCTAATATACGCTCTACGCTGTACAGTGAGTTTCTTTTGAACGAAGCTGCCTGGACTATGGCCAATGGGAGCCGTCCGACACAGTTAACTAGCTGTTCTGCAGTGCTAGTAGAAATAGACGAATCATTGGAAAGTATATGCGCATCCTTAAGAAACAATGTTGCAGCATCTTGTGCATCTAAAACGTCAAGTCTGACAACATGATGTTGCTGTCCAGCAGCGAGGACGATGGCTTCCGCGACTTCCTGGGTTCGGGTCGTGTACAGAATTCGCCCTCGTGCATTCGTACGAGGAAGGTATTTGCGAAGGAAACCAAGCGTGTCTCCAACAACATTGTCCAGCACAATGAGCCATGTCCGAGAACCTGACTCCTCGAACCAGCGGCGAACATGTACAAGTCTTGCCTCCAGGTCTAGTTTGAGTAGGTGCGATTGTCGGATAAGACATAAGATATTAGCAAAGCCTTCCTGAAGCTTTTCGGTTGTCGTGCTGGAAATCCAGAACACGTGTGAGATATGTTTGTTGATAAACTCCATGTTGGCGAACTGCAACGCAAGTTGCGTCTTTCCAAGGCCTGGCATTCCGAATACAGCGCATCGAGCAGGTATGTCACCTCCATCTGTATCAAAAAGCTTTTTCAGCTGCTCCAATTCTTTACCTCGACCAGTGAAATGAGCAGATAAGAGGTCGACAGGAGCATCAATGAAAGGAGGCAGGCTCCTCGGGTTTTCCTGTTGCGGATTGGTAGACACGGTAGATTGGTGGGTCACGTTTATGATATTCATATTGCCATCGACTTTGCCAATATCGATAAAATTGCTCCCACTGGCATTCGTGTCTTTAGCCTGATGAAACATTCCAGGTCCAGTGGAGGACGTTTGGTTCGACATTTTTGCGATAAGGGTGAATTTGTTCGAATTGGGAGAAAACAGTGCGATAAGGGAACTATGTGAGGGAGAGGGCGAAAGAACAAAGCTTTGATGTGAACTAACCCATGCGATAAGCGCTGGATCATACCCACGCTTGGACCAGTTGCCGGCACAGACAGGTTTTCGGACGCGCGAATAGTAGGGGACAATACTCTGCTTGTTAGCCAGCATTATAGTGATCATTGCAAACCGACATCCTCAACGCATAAATCCGTTGCCTAAGAGGCCATTCCACTTATTCCAAACCAAGCGAAAGCAAATTTATTATTTCGGAATACCCGCACATACCAAGATGAATGTCCTGGGGAATGAGTTAGTTAGTAGGATATGGCTGAAGTTTACTCACATAAATGACACGTACCACAGAAGGGAAGGGTTAGGTCGCCAACGATACTGGTGCGATCAACTTGCAGACGAATAACACGACAGGCTCTGGTGTAATACAGCCTAGAGGAAAACTTGAGCATGACACCAGAAAAAGTAAAGAGAATAACCGATATCTGGCTGTCAATGGTGCCGTGACAGGCCAAACCAATGTTCGTGGGACTTCGAATGCGAGTTGAAGGGAACGAGGGGACTTTGTCAACTTCGACCTCAATATCTCATTAGTAATCAATTGGATTCCAGCGTCTGAAATGACACTACGAGCAATTGCCAAAATAGCAAGTTGCGACAGTCTAACACCAGAGATGCAAATGGAAAACTTTCACTGGTGTGCTCCAAGATTGAACAAAGAATTAAAAGGTAAAAATATACTTGTTTGGTCTTTATCTATTCTTCACTGCTAGTCTTTGTGGGATTGCATTTCCCTGTCGCACAAAGGGAAAGATAAGTGGCAGCTCTGGAACAGCCAAAATTATCTGCAACAGTCAAAGAATAGGCTTACTGTGATTATGTTGTTACAGCCATATCCTAGAAAGGGATGGTTTGGCTCATTCCATAAAGGAATAGTCATGCAATATTAGACCCATTGTTTACCTTTTCACTCCCAGACATGGTCCAGAGCATAGCCATAGTAGGCTTCCATTCAGCGCTGTGCTTTTGGTATGTCGCACTGAGTGATTTCGGCAAATGCTCGTAGTGTGAGGGGAAGAGTGACGACTTCATTGAGCTTGAACATAGTTGCCTACATGGGCTCCGGACCTGATATACTCCCGACTTCGTGATTTCGGTCGAATGGCAGAGAAGCCTGCCCATCGTGACAGACTTCATAGCTTCCGATACATTGGAATTCCATTCAGGGTGCCTATCGTATGAACCACTGGAGCCGATTGTTGGAGAAGCATGACACGATCCTTGGCATCCCATTTACAATAGTGATTTTGGACAATGCAAGAAACATAGCTAAGTGGTAGATGTAGTAAGCGCTATAAATACGGAGTATTGAGGAAATACCGATCGCGAATAGTTATGTCATTCACTAGGATGACGCTCAGCTGATTTTAGACCATCGTCTCTTTTCAAGTCGCTGCACTCATAAACAAGCCTGCTGCACCGATATCTTCATATACATTAACACACAGTGGGCCTATGACATGAACGATACGCTGCGGCTTGAAGATTGACCATACTCCAGGTTGTCATTGGCCCAAGACCTGTTAATTGCTACATACGAGCCCAGTAAAGAAGTGATGTTTCAAGTATGTTGCAAAAACTGACCATTCTCCAATAGCCAACCTCAGTGCTCAAGTGCTTCAGCTCGATGTCAACGGTCCAGATCCATCCTCTCAGTCATGGAGAGTCTGGGAGTAACACATCCCGAGTCGATGCTTGCTAGTATGGTTGATATCACGTGACCGCGTTTCCCGAAAAAGCTATGATGATCGTATCACTCTTTACTAAGAAGAGCCCTGTCCGAGACGCTTCACTTGGTTCTACCATCCTTGCAATTGCCAGCCGAGTGTCAACATGACACAGACCTCAAGACCTCCCAGCCCTCGTTAGTAATGTCCAGCCTGACCTTAACTTGGTGCTCACCCGTCACCCTGTACTATGTGTGGCGTATATATCATAGCCAGACTCAAGACTACTGGATTGCCTGACGATCAACCTGAGGACGATCATGATGTATTCATGTCAGAACAGCCTGCCACCTTTCTATCTGGGCACCCAATACTGCCAGAAGATATGGGTAAGTGCGTCCACTGCAAACCACTTCCTCCTTCAATGTGGCGTAAATGCACCTTGAAAGACCCTGACCTTTCCTGTAGATATCAGAGATCTTATGCCATCTCAGCTATATGAAATGAATCAGGTAAGCTAAAGCCCGGAATAATGTTCCTACATCGTGTCGTGACAATGCACAGAACCTTCTCAATGAAAGTGTGCCACAAAAACCTCTCATAGACGAGCTCGCTTCCATGTCAGTATTGCGTGAAGAATACGAACATGGATCTGCTTCATTCCTCAGGCAAATAGACTACTTAACAAAGGACGGGTATGACTGTGTTAGACGCACACGAGGTACGATATCACTTTTACGTTTCCGAATTCAGTTTAAGTAGAAACACAGGCGACGGTGACTGTTTCTACAGATGTGAAGTTTATTTTCTTGCCCTCTTCATTCACATCTGATACAGAAGAGTAATTAGCGGTTGCATATGCTTTCGTTGAGAGACTTCTGTACTCGCCCGATCCAACCATGGCCGTAGGAAGTGCTCTCTCGCAGATAGAGTCGACTCTGCCCATGCTAACAGGGGCGCGATTCGATCCATTTGTTTACGAAGACTTCATGGAGTGTTTCACGACGCTCATTCAGAGTATCGTCGTCCCTGATAGAGAAGGCCTAACTCTGACGCCACAGTCACTCCTCGATGCTTTCCAGCAGCCGGAATGTAGGTGAAACTTTCGTTTTACAATATGATCTGAAAGACACATGAAAAATACCCTTATTTTCATCAGCGTCAAACTCGATCGTTGTGTATCTCAGACTCCTTACCTCTGCACAGATTCGTGCTGATCCTGATGCCTATGCTGGATTCTTGCACGATCCGGATAATTATATGGAACTACAGCTGGAGACGTTCTGCCAACATTATGTCGAGGCTGTTGGTAAAGAAGCCGGTCAGTGCCTCCATCATCGAACGTGTACATTTCACCGAGATCCGCTTTCAGATCATGTCCAAATTGCGGCCCTTTCTCGTGCCCTCAAGATCAACGTGAAAATAGCATACCTAGATGGCCGCGATCCACAGGAGGTAGGAAAGGTCGATTTTCACGAATTTATATTCGCAGATGATACTACCAGTAGTTCGCTGGTACTGCTTTACCGGTACGTGCCTTAAGATCCTTCTCACTTGCGGCGTTTTGACATGCGATCTTGTTTTGTGCCATCAATCATCTTTATAGCCCGGGCCATTATGATGTTTTAGGAAGATCAAGCTCAAGAATCTGATTCTCAACACATGCTACATCCTCACCAGAACCCTCTAAGCTTCGGATGATTGCTCTAGGCAGTTGAGATATTTCGTTGATCCACCAATAAGTTTGTATAGCACTAAAGTTTGTTGTACGTTCCTTGTATATCCTCTGTAAACAAATATGCTGTCGTAATCCTTATTGAAATTTTCAGCCGAAAGATTCGACTCAGTTGATAAGGTGATGTTCCAACGAGTTCATACCATGAAGTAAATTGATGGGATATGTGTGGCCGTACAGGTTTCATACAATGCCATCAAGGCATCATCAACTTGCTTGAGCAGGCGGTGTTTATTGTGGGAACATGACTCAAAGTATCTTAGAGTACCAGTTAGAAAGCCGTGATGGAACAATGGCTTGTTGATACCCGACATAGACATCTCATCTTTGTGTTTCGATGATGTGCAGTGATCGGTAAAGCACACGGATCGCACTGTTCCTCCTGTAAGTACTGTTGATCGAATTTGTAACGTAAACCTGTTGAAACTCACTACTTCGATACTCAGAAGGCGTCGTGAGACCCAATGGCGATCTACACGACCGTTTATGTTGATATGAAATCTGCAGTTGGGAACCGAAGACCTATTCGCTGGGAATCTTTTGACAGCTTCAAGGCAAGACGTTGCGGTCTTATTGTGGTCCTAAGGGTTACCCCTGTTCATTCGAACTGAATTTCCTCGCACGACTACGAGAAGAATTAGGTGGGAAGCTAACGATGCGACTTCAACGCTACATTGGTAGAATGATTGATTTCGCGTGCGAGCTCATGCTAAGTACTGCTATAGTACGGTAATATTTCACACTCGCAAAACTTAACAGGCACAATCACAATCACCATTGCACTGAAGTATTCAAGCAACTGCCGAAAAATCAACCAGAAATTTCAGTGCAAACCGATTAGCGTTGCTCTATTTATAGGTACAACCTGCAGGGATTCTGCAACATCTTCACAATTTTTTTTGAATTCTGGATACATATGCATGTTAGCAGAAATTATCCGCGGATGTACACTTGGACGTGAGTGCATGTCCATGGGCTGGACATTATAGGACCCGCGGCACGGCCACTGCATATTCTACCACCACCTATTTTATCGTCAAAGCCAACGTTCGTTCTATTCACGGTGTTAATATCCAGTGCACTGGTTTCAAAGAAGTGTAACAATCGCTCCTGTGAGACTTACCAACTATACGAATGTCAGAGCTTGAGAAATCACAGGCTTCGAGCCTGCAAAGGACATATGCATCTGCTGCGCATAGAATTTCATCAAATTGCTACGATAACTCAGTCTTCAAGTTCAAACATCATATCAGATATCCACTTCACGGGCTCTCGGTCCTAACGAGGAGTTGCAAAGAGCGCTTGCTACCTCGAAAATAGCATTGTACTATCACTTCCGATGTTTGTAAGCAATACAGCCTCCATACTTCAATGGCCAACAAATTATCATTTGCGCTGTTCAAGGTTACACGCACTCCGATACGCAACTGCCAAATTGAGATGAACTGTCAGGCATAGATCACGATCGTCTCCTCAGCTACTCTCCATTCGGCGTTTGCACCATCGACATCCAAATCACGCATCCGCTTAAGAGTCAGGGCACTGTCGGATGAACCGCACTTGGAAAATATGGCAGTGAGTTCGGCATCTGCAGTATCAAGGTTGATATCCAATTCGTATAGCGCAGGGATGTGTAAAATGATGCGCCGAGGTTCCAGGTCAAGGGTGGAAGAGTGGATATGTGCGTGTGTCTGTAGTAAATCAGCTCAATCGCCCAAGATGCCACACAATCGAGATATTGTCTTACCAATCCCGGTACTGTGACGATAACACAAATTTTAGTCTCATTTTTATTCCAAGCCCACGATGGTGTACGGATTAGAGGCGCCGATGATCCCGGAGATGTCTCCTTCAAAATACCTTTGGGTGCCTTGGCGCTCTTGTTCTTGATCTTGGGAACAGCTTCTTGCCCAGGAGCGACTTCTTCAATGAGCACCGGCGCACTGCGGTGATTGGCATGTCCTGGAGGGTATAGAGTTGGGGAGATATGGATAGTACGTCTTTGAGGCTTTCCCTTCGAAGCTATGTTGGGAGTGCTGATCTGACGGGATAGGACAATAGATGCCTGTGCTTCTATACGCTGGAATGAAAGTTCTTCAAGTGATCTTCAGTATGTAATTATAATATGTTTGGGAGACTTGGGGGATTCACCTATGATAAAAGTCTTGAATTCCGGGTCTTTGAGGGTGCGTGATTTGATGGTAGGATTGAAGACGCAATCAAAGACGAGAGATGGCTGACCGGCTGTAAAGCACAGAGATAGTATCAGCAGTGAGCGAAGGGAGAAAGCATGCTATACATAAAACACCAGGCTGGTGTCATATGCGGCGAAAAGAGGTCGCGACGGATAACTCGGGACACTGCAACAAGGTACTGACCTTTGTCTCTGTCCTGCCGCGCGTCAGACACGGACAATGGAACATACCAGGCGTTTGGACTCAATTCGTCCACGTCTTGGCCTTGCATCGCCTTGGATATTTCCTCTTCGCTTCCCTCTGGGGGAGGCGGGATGTTCGCATCCCAAGCAACATTTACGAAGACCTTTAATCCTTTTGGGACATGAATCGGCAAAAGGGCGTTAGTGGATGGAGGATCTAGGTCGTATGTGTCACCGGGTGAAGCTGAGGATGCTGTTATCCGAATGGATGTATCTTGTAAGGCTTTCGATTTTACACAGAAAGCTGGAACTGGTTCGAGCGTTACGGCTGTTTGGGTGGAGACCATTAGAGCGGGAGTGTGGCGTGGGAGTGCTGAACCAGGGAGTGTATCCATCCCGATTAGGGTTAGCTAATTCTCGGCGCAAAATAGAAATAGAAACCGGAATAATTAATATTTGGTAACTGATGACTCCTTCAGTTGTACAGAGTTAATGATCAAGTTTGATCTTCAAATCCATATAAAAGACTCCCGCTCCTCCTCGTCCTTACCCAGGCTTTCTCCATCCACCTCCCCTCCCACATCCACTTTATATATTCCACGTTCTCCCTCCCGCATCCTTCACAATGTCTTACAGCGTAACCCCCTTCCCCGATGACAACAAAATGCAGGACTACATCCAGGACAGACGAGTCATCGGCGTATGCAATTTTTTTTTGGTATCCATTTGTCGTCTTTAACATTGATCGCGAATGCCTCCAGTACGATCCCCTCGTCCAACCTGCTCTCCTACGACACGAGATAACGGCCTCTGACGCTTCGCAACAAACCATTGCCGTTGCCCGTTTCAACTCTGCCCGTATCTTGGCGGGACATGACGACCGTGTCCTTGTCATCCTCGGCCCCTGCTCGATCCACTCTCCAGAGCAGGCCATAGAATATGCACACTTGCTCAAATCTAAAATCCCTGACTGGGACAACCTTGTCATCATTATGCGTGCTTACTTGTACGTGAAATCCGTTTTACGTTATGCATTCTCTTGTTCATGTCATTCCCTTCCCTCTTTCTGTTAACCCGAACTCGTTCCGAACATCAGCGAAGTGCGTCCCTTCTTTCTGTCCTCCAACTGTCTATTGAATTATGTTCCATCAGAAACCCAGGACCACAGTTGGCTGGAAAGGCCTCATCAATGACCCTGTATGTCGTTTGTTACACCTTCTAGTACAGTAACTGACGCCAATGTTGCTTAGGACATTGATGGCTCTTTCCGAATCAACAAAGGGCTTCGAATTGCGAGACAGCTTCTCTGTGATCTCACAGATTTAGGTGTCCCAGTCGGTTCCGAGCTTCTCGACACCATCTCTCCTCAATACATCGCCGACCGTGAGCTCTAACCACATTTATCCAATTCAATGTATTCATTGGAATATACTTGGCAGTCATCTCCTGGGGCGCTATTGGAGCACGAACCACCGAATCACAACTTCACAGGGAACTCGCCTCTGGTGTTTCTTTCCCAATCGGCTTCAAGAACGGCACGGATGGCAGGTACGTTTTTACGAGAAAGAGATCAAAAAATCAATTCTAAACAAGGTTCCATTTCTAGCGTCAGCGTTGCTATTGATGCTATGCGTTCGAGTTCCAATCCTCATGCCTTCATGGGCGTCACCGAGCAGGGTCTTGCCGCAATTGTCAAAACGAGAGGAAACCAGGACGTTCACGTTATCCTCCGTGGAGGTACCAAAGGTCCTAACTACGCATCAGAGCACGTGCGCTCCGCGGCACAAGCCATGGAGAAAGCCCGTCCCTCGAATCACGCCAGCATTATGATCGACTGCAGTCGTTAGTCATCCTTCCAAATCTGATGTCGACTTGTCGAACTGATGGATAACGTCTTCCTTGCAGATGGCAACTCACAGAAGAACCACAACAACCAATCAAAAGTCATTGATGACATCTGCACTCAGTTGGCTGCTGGCGACAGGACTATCACCGGTGTGATGGTCGAGTCACACATCAATGCTGGTCGCCAGGATGTGCCTGCTGAAGGGCCTAGTGGACTCAAATATGGTGTCAGTATTACGGATGCCTGTGTCGACTGGGAAACGACAGTGACTATGATGGATAAACTAAACGAAGTAAGCTCACTTATGTCCCTAATCACCATCTGAGTACTGATTCTTTCTTGCGCACCAGGCTGTAAAACATCGTCGCACGACTTTGATTGAGAAAGGGCTGAGAAAGCCAGCTGGATTCCAGCGACAACCTACAACCCCTTAATTATATAGCCCATATCAACCCCAGCATTTAGTAGCCATAGCTTTCTACACCATTGTTAGATGTATATTTCCCTGCTCTGATTTTCCCCTCCTACCTGGATGCATGGCCTGTTCTACTTAGTGGGGCACGTTTGTATACCGCATCATTATGAACAATAAACTATTTCTATATGCGGAGTATCTCATTGGACACTAGTACTAATGAACAGGCTCACTTGAATAGTCACCTTCTAATCACCCAGAAAACGTGTGTCAAAGCGTTATATGATATGCAAAGCAGGACGAGTAAGAGAGGGGATATCGGGGTTATCTCCCATCAATCGCACCCCATATCTCAAATATCTTATCGAGAGATTGAACCGACCAGCCAGTCCCAAGTGTTGGCGCCATCTTAATCCCAGTACCATGTAAAACTTGTTTTATTCCCTGCTGGAGTGCCTTCAAATCCTGAGAGCCATTTGGGGGAGGGTTTACAGAACACGCGTTGTATGCGTCTTTAGCCAGTTCCTCGAGAACGATTAACAGTGTCGCAGTAGGGACACCGTGTCTCAGCAGGTACCAGGCCAAATTGCGAGACATCTCTTCGGGAGTATCCTGTTGCATAACAGTGCCTCCCGATACGTATCGAGCCAACGTTGGTAGGAACTCACTCCGATTGGCTGTTTCTTCTAGCACTCCATCTAGCGCGTGTAGAGCACCGGAGACAGTATTTTCACGTATTAGGGGTGGCCGGAAGTTGTTTTCACTCCTTCCACTGAATCGTCGATCGTACACCTTACTGTAGAAATCGGCGGCAAACCGGAGATCCTGAAGCCGTAGATGGAAGAAACGCGAGGATGGTGACATGGTGCGGTATTGATATAAAAGTAGATGGGACTGCAGCGTTTCTGGTTTATCTTGAAGTATGCTATCGAGAAGTGCTGCATGACAATATTCGTGGAAAACTCTTTCATCAGGGATCTCGCCATCTTCCCGAGAGAAGTGGTCCGCGAACGAAAGAAACAGAATGTCGTTTGAGAATGATGATATGAAGTGCGTGAGGTCACTTGCAGGATGGGCTTTGGTATCAGTGAGTTGAGGGAAATCCAGAGTGGCGGCATCTCCCGCGGATGAACCAGAGCGAACAAAAAGACTCCGGCTCCCTCGGGGGTCCTCAGTGTAACTCAAAAAGGCTGTGCGCCGCTTAACGAACAAAGTTTGGGATTGTAAGAGTGTGGATCTATGCCTCGGGTTACGCTCGACATCTAGGAAGAAGGGCCAGTATCGAGGGGTATCCACCTTGATAGAGACAAGGTTATCAAAATCTGGTATAAGCGTTGGCGAAATCATCTGGGCGGTTGTCGATTCGTTTTCTTCCTTAGTCGTGACCTTGATGGGTAGGTAAACTGCCTCTCGAGTGTTAACGTCGCGAGCGACCAGACACCGTGGTTCGACGGCGAGCACCCACAAATGGCGAAGGGCTTGAAGATAACATTTGTTATCAGATGACACATGATGGAAACGTGGAAAGAATGCGGCGACCATGCAAGCAATTGCGGCGTTAGACGTGCCCAGCGTAAAGCGTCCTCCACCAAGGAAAAGGAGGCCAAGAGACATGTGCGTTGCAACATGCACTCCATATCTGAATGCTTGGTGGTACATTCCATAAGCATATCTGAGTCTCCTAAAACATGTGAGTTCGCCGGTGCCAGCCATAACCATACATAAAGCGATAGATATCAAATTTAGACCTTCGCGAACCGCAGAGCGTTTGATCTTATGATCAAAGGCAGGACCTACAAACACTCTCAATTATGCTGTTTACTACGTCCAAGGGAAGGCTTACCGGCAGCATATACATAGCGGCTTAACGCGTCGAAATGTTTTATGATCACTTGATAAGCCTCATGTCGGGCCGTACCAGCATACTTCAGGCCAATAACAAAACAAGCCCCAGCTATAATGTTGTAATACGCTAACTCGAAAGCATCATCCGCAGGGGCCAAAGCAGAATGCGCTTTCATAGCCGTGAATATCGGTTCAGGAATTTGGGCTGTCAGCCATTCCATCGTCGAGTTAACAGAGTCCCACATGATAAGAGATCGAGCCAGAGTCCTGAATAGGAGAAAACTGGGCTGGATTCTATTTAGAGCAAGAACAGTGGTGGGAATCTCTAGCATATCAGCGACGTCCTGTCGGTTTGTTTTGAGGTACATGAGTCCCAATGCTATGGACGCAGCAGGCGATGCGATGTTAACATCAAAAGAAGGTCGAGAGTTTGCTCTCCGACCAGAGCTCAATTCGCCGTGTATTAAAAGGCGTAGTCGAGTGAGGAATGCCACGTCGGCGGGCACAGAAGAGCCTTGACCCAGCATTGTCATGCCGAATGCTAGAGCAGCTGCATATGTATAAGCTTCTCGATGCTCGTTGCTAAGGTCAGGTTGCACCAAGTCACTGCGACAGATCTGATTTAGGCATACTTCGGCCATACGTCTATTTTTGGTTCCCAGATACAATAGGCCGACGCCAGCCAAACCAGCGGCCTGGGTCATCAGGGAGACGTTGAGATCGACTGTAGAGACTGGAAGTAAGGCGGGTGTGTGGACTGCCAAAAGCTTGGTGACATGACGATTGCTAGTCCCAACATTCGCAGCAGACAGGCCAAGGAGAACACCGATCGACGTTAGATCGTGTTTAGGAGTTAGGTATCCAAAAGTATGCCACGTAAGCATTTCCTTAAGATGGCCCGTAAGACCCAGGCCGAACAGAAATCCAGCATGCTCTGGCGTCAACTCGGAAGGCTTATTGAAAGCAATCCATGAGCTTTCTATGCCTTTTGCTTTCGGAGAAATTCGTAAGCCCGCCGCTACTCCGTTGTGAAATTCTCCCCAGTTTGTGCAATCTGGAGGGATCTTCCCCGCCTCGGGGGAAGCGACTATGCTTTGTGGCTGAATTCTAACAGAATATTCCATCTTTGGTATGAGGTAGGACTCTCGAGTAACGGTCAAAGCAGAACCAAACGTAAACATAGCTCTCCCATATGGTAGTGCCAGTGTCCGTTCCGCGATCCTGACGACCTGATGCTGCTGTTCCTTCGCTTGATCATGTTCGCTGTGTGAATGTATTAGTGTTCATTCACGGGCAATGCTTGCAGTAAAACGTACTTCAAATCAGGACGTTCGACTACCCGTACAGAGGATGTAGTTGATGAACAGAGCATTCGCGCAGCTTCTTGCAGCCTACGGTCTTGACCAAATCGGATGTCTGTGAAATCTTCTAATTCGAGCTCGACTCCCGATACTGTATCGACTTCTCCAGCGCTTGCGGTTTTAGCTTGAGCAATCAATTCACTAATAGTTTTTTTGGACCGCATGCTCTAGATGTGTGGTACTGAATTAAGTAATAACTACAAGTAACAAGATCACGCACCATATATGTTTCAGGCGATGGGAACATGCGATTGTGAGATGTATCTGGAGCATTTGGCGAAACGCTAAATGCCAAATCACGACGCCCGATCAGCTCATAATGAGCAGAAGTCCAGTGCATTGCTGGAGATAACTGGCAGGTCCTGATTGCTTCCCTTAGAGGAGCAGCCACACCCAGTGGGAGATTGTCCAAGAAGAGAGACGCACGTCTCGCTAATTTATGGGTTTCTATCAAGTTTTCGACTGTCTTCTCCGCACGCTTCTGAGTGGATGTCCCAGTACCATTTTCTGCTAAACACATATACGCGGCAGTAACTTGCTGAAGAACTTTCAATGGATCAAGGTGACCATACGCATAAGAGGGTTCGATATTGTAAGTGACGGCAAAGGTCTGCATATGGTGGGCAGGAAAAGTCCAATCAGGATTACTTGCTCTGCCATAGAAAATGGCAATCTTATCCGGAGGCCAAACGGGTATGCGATCGTCCAGGAAATCAGTGGCTATTAGTGGGCCTTACAATTTATCAAGAGAATAAATCAAGATATGCAACACTCACCGATTGTAGTTGGTGTGGGCCAAGATATCATCAAGCTGGGACAAAGACGCTTCCAGTAATCAGCCCATTCAGGACGAACAGTATGAGCAATCGTGCATATCACAGGGACCAGCTTCAGAAGCTCGTCATATCGATGAACAGTTAGTCTTAGTTCTTCTGCAAGTACGTGCAGAGAATATAGTACCAATGCCAGGAGTGGGTGCGGTCTGGTGACAGGTGTAAAATGCGGCTGTGTTGGTTTGGGCGAGGGGAACTTCAGACCCTTCAGTGCGCGGTCGTCAGAGAGGCGGTCGTGTGATGATGAATTTGACAACTTGTGCCATACGCCAGACTCTGTGGAGATATCTTGGGGTGTAGATCGAAACCCAAAATTTCTGTATAGTGCGTTCACAAAACATAGGAACTCAGTGTTCTCATATGCCCGTAACCGCTCGGAAGACCACACCTTCAAGAAAGTATGGTGGAGGTTAAACGATAATTCGGCAGGTAGGACGAGTGCCAAAGTCTGCAAACACTGGTTCACTAGTTGGTCGTTGGGAATCAGACATACCCGGGTCCGGAATATTTCCCCTCCTTGCAACATTACGGTCACAGAAGATAAACAAGCGTCTTTAACGGCAGCAACAGATTCTAGAACCGAAGGTGTCATATGTGTCTGGCCCAAATCAGCATCGCTGGGAGGAAGCTGTAATTGGAGAGGGACCTCAAACAACCCATGCGTGAGGATAGAAAGCGTGTGGTCGGATTTCACTGTGAGAAGGTCCCAGGTATTGGCCCTCGTAGCAATTATGGATGTGATGGACGTAACTGCTAAAGTAGTCATATACTTGACTCGTATTGCTGTTTTCCCCTCGTCTGGAGACAGTGAAAGCACTAGAGTCCCATTTCCAGGAGAGCAAATAGCAAGGAGAGAACGCTCGGAGGTGCCGTCAAACCTCTGATCAAATATTGAAAAGGAAAACTGTGACCATGACCGCGCCCTGCATAAAAACAGTTAAGTATGCTTCAAGGGTGAGAGGGCTTTGACGAGCATCTCACTCTGTCTCTGATACTTGACGGGAATATATCTTCTCCATCCAAAATGCAGCTTTCATTCTACCATGTTCGATAGGAGTCAAAGTGATCTCCACGTCCGCTCCTCCACCAAGCACCATCCTGTCCATCGTTATGCTAAGATCATTACGCGTCAACGAGCTTCGGCGACCCTTCGCTATCGGAGAAACAGGTGCAGCAGACCCCGCCATCATCCCTAGGGATGCTGTAGGTACATTAGCTGCTCGCAAAGGGAATGCTGGAGGGAACTCGTGGGTGGACTCTAGATGATCTGTCTCTTGAGATGAGGAAGGAAGTCTACGGTCACGGTCAACAGACTCGCTAAAGCTGCTGTGCCATCTATCGCTAGGAAGCAGTCCGTTTGTAGATGCCCTCTTGCGTGACAAGCTCCGTCCTCTAGCACGACTCAAAGGCATAGGGGTGTCTTTAGGCTTGATATATGCGTATCGCCAGAGGGATAACTGACGACTTTCCACGTCAACTGTGGCCACTATATCTTCAACAGCATTAGGAAGGCGGGGCGAGACCCAGACAACAGTCTCTGTAGCGGAAATCGACTTGAGTGGCTTCGTGCAGTGTTCTTCTTCGTCTTTGAGCGAGGCAGCTTTACCATTGGCACCATCAATGATGCCAGCAGTCAAGCCAAACGATGCTGGTTCGGAAAATGGACTAGTGACGGAAAATATCGTAGGCAGAGGGGTGTCACCTGTTAACTCTGCTTCCTCAATCTCGAGCGGATCGAGCACCCTTTGGATCATTACCCCATGAGGATGCAATGGCCAAGTTTTGCGCACAATAAAAGGCAGTGAAAACGTGTACTCCATCCCATCTTCAAGGAATATCTTCCCAATACTACGGAGGAAAATAAAAACGCCCGGGACCACGAGCAGGTGTCTGCATTCATGTCTGTTGGCATGTTGCGCTTTGAAAAAAGGTCCAAACGAGGACTGTGAAGAAGATTCGTCCTTTTCAACCTCATTGGAGGACGAGTAATGCGCGCTGCTCGTCGCCGAACTTGAAGCGTTATCGGTGGATTGTTCCAGTTTTGCCAGGCAAGCGTATTGGATGATTTGCCCTTCTTCCTCCAGGTTCCATTGCTTCTTGATGACACCTCCACATGTCAGAATCACAACATGATCATTCCAGGACAGCTCCCGCTCCAGCCAAGGCTCATCCTCCCCTTTCCCAAAATACGGACTATATGCGGACGACACAGAATCGGTACCCGAGCCACGCAACGCTTTTCTAATGTTTTGCAATAAGTCGGACCCTCCTTCTCCTTTCCTTGATCCAGATGATGTCTTTTTCAGGTAATCGATGGCAGCGGAGTGAGGATGACCTTGAAGAGTTATGGTAACATGGTGAGATGGTTCCATGAGTGAAAACAACTATAGTTCCAACTGTGGGATTGTTATTTTAGTGATATATATCGACTCGTAGTATGCTATCGGTGTGAGCGTTAACGACAATGGTCATTGTGTTGTGCACGAGATCAATGCGCATGAGACCATACAAGTTAATTCTAACTATCAGCACCGAGAACGCGTTGTTTGATGCTGTTGACCCAAATTCAGGCGCCCACCACTGCAGTATTACTAGCACAAACAATGCTATCATTTCTGTCAAACTAAATATTGCGTAGGTAAATTCCAAGATACTTTATATGGCCGACCAAGATAATAAAAAGGTTAGAGAGCGAGGAATGGATGAGAGATGTTATAAGGATACGTGTAAAAGACGAGGAACCTATTCCTACGTAACACAAAGAGAGGGGTAGATAGTACGACTAGTAGTAAACGACACCCCGTTAATTTAACTTTTAAGACAATAAAGTCCGTCATATGAGCCAGCAGAGTACGAACGAACAACAACACCGAAACACACTTGTCCTAACCAGATATTAGATATACTGAACGATTCCTTTTTTGCGTCCTATTTGCCACGAGCTGTATATATTGATTGCCAGATTCTAGAGAAGCCGGGAAATAGACCATGTATAATGCGATTACTGAGAACGAATAGGATATTAGTGTTATAGCTAGATGAACCGTCAGCATACGGAAGACTAACGCCATGGACTGTGTTTTGACTCACATAGATTCAAGGTGAGACAACTTGGTAGCGTAACATTTCGCGGCTACTTCTCCTGCTTCCACCTAATAGGTCCTCCTGGTTCGGAAGTGCGATACCCGAAAGTCCTTTGGACTCCTCACCATTCAGTCTCCAGATGTTGTTCCCAATAGGCAAGTTAGAAGAAGAATCATTGGAGGTGATGAGGTGTTCACGCCCATATAGCGAGCGCGGAGGAGAAGGGAAGCTGTCCTCATACTCTTCAATCGACAAGTCAGCAGAAGATGTCGAAGTCGGCGACAATGTAGGAGACTGCACTATATCTTGCAAAAACGAAGGAAGGAGCGATGCTGACGTATCGCTTGGTAGATGCGCCTCAAGGCTACTCAACGAGGGGAAGGAAGAAGATTTGTTAGGACCAGATGTTTCGTAGATGAACTGAGATTCAGCGTATTGCGCTCCGAGATCTATGTGTGAACGGGAGCGGTAGGGAGATGAAGTTTGTTTAGTAGTAATATCCTGGAACATGCGGTGACGTTGAGGTGGCGTCATAGAGTGAGACCGCGGTGCCCGAGCGGAGGCTGACATATTGGAACCAGCCGACGGTGCTTGATCTCGGGAAAGCAACGAAGTGAGTAAGGCTATACGCTCCGCCTGTACCGCAGCCGAGATGGAATCGCCATTGCCTTCAGCGTCTGCAAGAATGATAAATTCAGAAAAGATTTTCCACACACCCATGACCATGAGGCACTTACAAGGATAGCACGTCTGGCACACCTTCCGCCTTCTCCAATTCAGATAGTTGCACTTTAAACAGATCCAATCGCCCGGCTGGTGCTCTATGGGGCCTCTATTACCCGTGTTCAAAATCGGGGGTTGCTACGGTCGAAGTTCAGTGACATGTAACTAATTCTGAAGAAGCGAATTACGAACCGGAACTGCTGCTAATCCACTTGGTCTTATCTGCCCCTGCTCAGGAATGGGCTCGTTGTCTGGCCAATACATGACACAGGGGGCATATGGGTCACTTGATATATTCTGCACCTTCCCACCAACGGAGAATGCACGACCAGACGGAGTCAAGAGGGGTTGCGTCGGAGAGGGTGACTTTGCGACACCCACGATGGGTTGCGAGACCGACGACGGGCGTGAATTCGGTGACGTAGTACTGTTTGGAGGCGGGAGCGAGTAGGTCTTGGGTGGGTTAGCAGAGCCCACGAAACGTGGTGAGGATGGAAGCCGAGCAGCTTGAGCGACGCAGGTCTGCATTGAAGGTAAAGGATACTCGGCGCGAGGACATCCACATCCTCTGCATGCGAGATTGCGCCTGTGAAGAATCATACAAGGAAACGAGTCGGTCAGAACCATGTTGACAGATGCAGGCAGGGGAAGAAGTGAAAGGTGGAAAGAAGGAGAGCGGTAAAATAAAAAAAAAGTATGAACTGAGGAGCACGTTATGTCCCAAGATAGGAGGGAACTCTTCGGGAATACGGCAGCGATGACGATATAATGAAAGCTGGCTATTATTCACTGCAGGGTTCCGCCACTCAATGGCACCACAGGTGTGATCGGGAAGACGGTAAGTAGAACACAAACGTGGCAATACAAGCACGGGCTCCCGCTCCCCAACCCAGAGACGCGGCACAATGATTGAACGATTGAAAAATATAGAATATCACGAGCCTAATCAAATGGTGGTGAAGCGACTTACCCAAAGTTATGTGCAGCACAATTTGGGGCATTGCATCTAAAAACGACAGATGTGACACCAAGTCAGCATTGTATCAAGCACCGAGGAAGGAAAGTGCGATCGAAAAACGTGAAGGGCTAGAATAAAATGCCCCTGACATCCGTTAACACATGTGCAAAAGAAGACCATGATACCAGCGGCATCATACATGACATATCCAGATCGAGGCAGTATGATTTGCCAATATCACTAAAAAAGAAAGGCAAGCAAAGAAATGAAACTGAAAAACGCACATCCAGTCTCCAAGTCTAAAAGTGGTGCGTGGATTAGGGGGGTTGCTGGATATGACGAAATCCTCCTTTTGGGCAGTGATCGATCCATGAATCATACCGGGCATTCCCGCTTGTGCACGTCTTTGCAAGTCTGGCGTAGAAAACGACATGCGAAGATGGTGTTGAGGGTGAGCTCGAGAAAGGGCGGGTGACGGAGACGCGTGCTTTTATAGCAGACATAGGTCAGCACTAAGAAGCGAAGCAGCGACTGAAACATACCATAGGTGACACCTCCAGCGGTCGGAGCTTGTCGAAGGGTTCCAAATCACTCTCTAACGCAGGAACGATAGAGATGAAAGGGTGAAAGAGAGAGAGAGCAGTATAAGCCTGCCATGAAAAGAATCATATCAGCTCAGATAAATTTTTCTCCATCATAATAGTGAAATAGCGAAAAATAAATTGTGAATCGTGAAACGCAAAGGCGCTGCAACAATGATGCATTCGGCTCTTTGGCCCTGCGCGAATGCACCACTTGAAAAAAAAAGACTGGCCATCTTTGTGCCTGACCGCAGCCAGTTGACCCGTGACAATACTCGGGACATACGCCAGGGCCACGCGAGTCGTTGGTCGGGCAACAATGGTCGGGATGGCGCATATAGAATTGATGCGCACCAATCATGAGCGTGGGATTGCGTTCTCGGGCACAAGATTGCCATATTGGGATAGAACACCACTTACGTCATCATGGCATCGAAACACAGCCCAGACATCTTCTGGCTCGCGCCTGGGTTCACCGCGCACAGTCCACATAGACATCGGGACGGGGGCACTGCCACCTGACATGCTGGAGGGCTAGAGTCACTGGCTTAATGGCAAGTAAAATTGTGACTGATATATGATACTAACGTTGCAATCAAGGGACGAGAAAAGTGCGAAAATAGACGAAAGCGAAGCGGGAGGTGAGACATGCAGCTGATAAACAGATTTTCAGTATATTGATCGATGACTCGGTGGTCTGTGCGCACCAGAATCACGCGCGAACAGGTAATTGCGAAAGCTTCATGCAGTGACCACCGACCAGACAGATTGCCTTTGGTAAAGGGTGTATTGGAGCCGAGGCCATAATCGCTGCTGGAGGAAGATGACGGCGATAGGTCGGGCAAGGACATCTTTGGGGCGAAGATATCGATGACACAATCGTTGTGGACGTTGTTGAGATACGGTGAGGAGGAGGTAGACGACAGTGGGGTTGGTGGGTTTAGCTCGAACGCGGGGCCTAACCGCTGTGGCGAAGGGATTTCGAGAGGGGGCATCTGAGCCTTTGGATTGCAGTGAGGTTGAGGGATGCTGTGCGGGGAGTTGCGGAAACGGTGTAAGATGTCGTCGAACGTTGGCCAGTCTGCTGAAGAACGATCCGTCGAAGAGGTGATTTTCGACGTCATACGGTTGATTTGGGGTAAAGACTTTGCAGAGGACATCCTATTTGAAGGGCGAGAACAAGGAGGAGACAATCCTAGCGGAGACAGCATAGGCGGATGTCGGTAATGGCAAGAAAGGATATGCAGGGGAAATGAGCTGCAAATTAAATGTGATGTGCGATGGGCAAGACGCGCTGGTCGAACGCGGTGGCTGCCTTCGAAAGTGAGCCTTCGAGTTCTTTCAAGACAGATGTGGCGAATGGACTTCCAGCTGCGAACGGTGCCGCCTTTGGAAAGTATTAATCAAATGGAGAGCTTTGCAGAGAACACAGAATGCAGAAAGGCTTATGGCGGCGATGCGATCGTCGTCCTGTCCGCTGGGTGAATTGGGGAGGATTATACGAACAAAGCTTCCACCGCCTCCTTTTGAACAACTACGTGCAGCCCTGTCGCCGGGTTCAATTTGCGTAAAATGACGGTACATTTTGGTCATGTTTTCGGCAGCAGCACGCAAACGTGATAAGTCGATAACATCAAAATTCACACTGTCAACGGTTTGGATATTCCGCCAAGGCGGAGGGCCAGGGATGGGGTCCACAAATATATTGCGACGTGGCATTCGGGCGTTTCTTTGCAGTGGAGACAAGATTCAAGATCTTCCGAGCACAGATTCTGTCGCCTTTTCGTCCCGAGTGGATACGTAAATGCCCTCGCCCATCTGAGACGAGCGCTCCCTCTGGGTTTGCCGCTTCTTTGAAGCTCGTTCAGCAGCTGTCTGCTGCAACTCCTCGCGACCACACGACTGCAGCTCATTTATCACAGAGATCTACCACTTCGCAGACAAAATGAGCCAGATAGAGAACACTTCTGAGAATCGCTACAATCAGAACCATCGAGGCATCTCGACCGCTGCACCTGGTCAGAAGATGCTGTTTTTTGGTTCCGTTGTACACAAGGTTTGCGCATGTAGTGGCAACGCTCTGTAAACTTTGCACCACAGCGTCCGTCTTGCCGACTCGGCTTGAGGTCGCTGACCCTCGTGTTTGTTTTGGGTCCGAACTCAGATCTTGATCGCATCCGTGCCAAGTGGATATCCTTTTTTGCGTTCTTACACTCAGACAGCCTTCGCAGTGTCCCTACCTAGTTATAGAGTTACAGCTTATCGTCCAGCATCAAAAGGACCGCACTATCACCTAGGAAAATCACACATACGTTTCGAGAAAGGACTGCAATGCCTTTCAAGCTGCGAGATTAATATTCGAAGTTGGGAAATGTCACTTTTGAGTCCTGATAAGGACAGCTTTGGCTTCTGAACAGAACATTAAAACGGCACTTCCGAATATTTTCATCATCGATCATAGAATCATTTGATTGAGGGGAAATTTAACATTTTCCGAGGTCAGCCCTCTACTCCACCCTCTGTTCTCCTCGGCCCACGAAATGAAACAAGTTTAAAGGTTATAAGGTCTCTTGACATTGCGTATTATATCATAGTACCTAACGCCACCCTAGCAGAAAGTCTGCACGACTTCCCCTCTGTAGCGCTCAGCTTCGATCGTCCACTTGGCTCTGTCGAAAGTACGATTGAGCCATGTCAGGGTGGGGCCCATCACAGACCCACTGTCACTGTCGTATTGGGATGATTACTCAGACTCGATGTATAAGAACTCGGACCTAACCCTTTGATGCGCAAGGGGCAGTTTATGCATGGGGTTGGCCCTTGTAAATGGTCATTTTTCGTTACACTCAGTGTCGGCTCTCACCATAAAACACTCTCCTGGCTAAGTCATCCCCATTATCGTGACCTCCATCATCCACGATGCATGATGGGCCATCGCACCGCGCTCCCGGAGGCTTACTGGACTGACCAGAAAAATTTATTTGCCTTGCACTCGCTTCAAAAATATATAGCTCAAGGGTAGCGCGATTGGCACGCTGTGTGAAATAGCCGTATAAAAATCATGATTGACGCCCATCGATCGTTTATGCCACTGATCTCGTAGGCGTAGTGCAGTGCATGGTAGCGTCGATAAGTGTAAATCGAATCTCAAAACACTAGGCGTTCCGTCACGGAGGCTACTCGAACCTCGGAGGCTTGGGCATTGGGTAATTATCCTCGACCGCTCATAGTTGTCGCTGCTGGCTTAGCATGACCTTTTTTACCCATCGCTGACAATCTGATCAACGTTGTGCATGTCAAGACTGTCAAGTCGGCGCTGCGCCACTGATGCAACTTGAAGTACCGATGCAAGTAGTGATGCTAGTGATGCATGATGCGATTAAGATGCGAATTATGTGCTGCCACCTTACATTGTTCAACAAAGATGCCCAGGAACTGACCATTAACTGTGGCATGATCTTAGTAGAGAAGGTCCTCGATTATATATAGTATACTCTATTTCACCGTCACCCAGTCAGAAAATAGACGCTTTAGAAGAGAACACGTACTGAGGTCATACATGGATACTTCCCCACTGCGCTACTATCTATCATTACTGTATACTCTATCCTGTCTGAATGCCCATGTTGCTGTAAAATACATGCCATTATAATCAGTATTACTATAGTGTTCAATCGCCGTCTCGTGTCTCCATCAAGCCGTCACACGAAGACTGTGCGTCTCTACTCGTGTGCTTGGCATGTTCCCATACAAGACCTTCCTCAGCTTGTCCCCACTGAGCTGCACAACCATCCCATGTTCACACAGATACTCAGCGTATCTCCGCCAAGCCTCTGCGCCTTTACCACCGTGTATGACCGATTGACCTTCCACGCCGGTATTACCATTAGATTTGCTCAGTTTACCAGCTTTGAGCGTGCTGATACTCCCAACCACGAATAAGCCCCGTTTGGCGCGGGTGAGGCCAACGTTCAGCCTCCTCCTATCTGCGAGAAAACCGATGTACCCGGACGTGTTGTTACGTACAGTCGAGAAAATGATGACTTCTTTTTCCCGACCTTCGAATCCGTCCACTGTTTTGATTTCGATATTGGACAGCTGCATGACGCGATGATCTCCCAGGGCATTTTTGAAGCGAGTATGGTACTTTGCATTCGTATTCAGGAGTCGGGTGAGTAGAGATATCTGAGCAGCATAGGGAGCGATTATGCCAATATCCTTTCCTTTAAGGTGCTAGAAACAAGGTTAGAATAAGTGCAAAATATGATGAGGCACACAGACTAACCTCGTTTTGTAACAAAAGATCTTCTACCACACTGCAAACAATATTTGCTTCGTTCCAATTGACTCTGCTGCGATCTCTAGCGCTCTCCGAACCGGTATGATCCAGGAACACGACAGAGGGCCTGTTTCCAGTCTCCAAATTGACTTCCAGATGGCTAGATAGTGGAGGTAACAGAGAAGGAGTGGTGTTACCAGAAGCATCTACAGTTCCGTTTTGTAAGGAAAAATTATAAAACTCTAATGATGGAAAGTGCGATATAGTTGGGTGCATGCGGTATTGAATGTCAAGCATAATGGACGGAACAACTGATCGGGAGTTTCGTCAGAATGGTATAATCGTCGAAATGGGTGATAATCACCTCCTTCTTCTGCGAGTCGCTCGAATAGGCTGATTCCTAGACCTTTCAGCTTCGCTTCTCGACTTGTGATAATAGGTGGCAGTTGCTTATGGTCACCAATCAGAGCAACATGCTGCGACTATAACGTATAATGAGTTGAGTTTATAAAACGATACAGTAAGGTCTCACCCCTTTCATCAACGGTATCAACGATGCGGGCTCAGTGGACATGGAGGCCTCGTCCAGAAATACCACGGGAAAATCAACAACGTTCAGAGCCACACTTGCAGAAGCAACGCACGTCGTGCAAATCTAACGCAAGATGATAAAAAGTGAACAAAATTCAAGAGACCAACGCACGTACCACATCAGCCTGAGAAACGATATCTCGCAGCATTTCTTGATGCATGGCATACAGTTTAGCACCAATGGCAACCAGCTGTCTCTCCACAATTGCCAAGGCAGTGCGCATCCCTTCCAGACGTTTCAAAACTCTGGTACTGTCGGCGGACTGCAGCTCTTTTATCTTCCGGCTGAGATCTATTTTTCGCTTCTCGGTGTGGGTCTGGTCTTCTATGGCCTTGTCAACTTTGGGTTTGAGGGGATGGCGTGACAGTTTATAATCCAGCGTAAACTCCTCAAGTGAAGCCTTGATTTTTCCACTGTAGCCGACGCGAAGCGGTTTAACTCCAGAAGCAGCGAAGCCCTCAACAAGGTTGTCGACGGCGACGTTGGTGAATGTGCAAACTACGATTGGATGATGAACCTCGAAATGAGACTTGAGCAACTTTATAGTCTCGATTATTGTTTTCGTTTTACCGGTTCCGGGAGGCTGAGGGCCGCAAGTTTCAGTATCGGTGGGTAATGAGATAAGTATAACGCTTACGCCTTGGACAAGACTAATCCGCTCCCCGATCATCATTGCTACCGCCCTTATCTGAGTTGAGTTTAGACCAGTTATTATTGGGTCACCATCAATCCTGACAGGATTGGGTTCCATGTATCTTCTCGCCCAGCTTTGAATTCTCATGTCGTCTTTGAAAGCACCCCCATGGTCTCGTTCCTCTCGACTTTGGTGCTCCAGTGTCTCACGAGAAACATACTCTACAGCATCTGGAGATTGCAGAGGTGTATGCATGGATAAGGAATCAGGAGAAAAGGATCGAAGTAGGACATCACGGAAATGTGTGCCTTGAAAGATGAGTTGACGATCTGGAGTCATGAGGTTTGCTTCCTCTTCTTGAGCCAGAGGGTCGTGGTTGAGATGTGAGATGGCCGTTCGCATCCTATCAAAAATGATGTTTGAGCGTCCAACGTCCAGTCTATATACGTCGCCGTTAAGATGTTGGTACAATGATTAAATTGAGAAGGGTAAGAGCGTACCTCCATGCACCATCTTCAAGGTCGAACTGATCTTCGAACGACACTCTAAGCTGTGTATTAGTACTTCCTACGACATAGCCCCTCCATGGCTGCTCCTTCAACGGGTCTATCCTGGAGACAAGAACTTGAGTCCCATTCCTAAAGTGACGATGCGTCAGTGCTCCTTATTTAAGGGGTTACGTATGCGTACTCACTCAAACCGATGCTCTGGCAGTGTGATTCCGGGTCCTAACAAGAAAGACGCGACTGGTCGCCCAAAACGAGCAGCTTCCAGCCAAAAGGCGGAGAGACCTGTGAGGCAGTAACCTTCTTGCCTTAGACGATTCAGAGTCCAGCTTGATAAACGCTCTCGTAGAACGGCCTCATCTTCTGCTTGTTCTGCTTCGAGAAGCTCCAAAAACCTGACGAACAAATGATATATAACTGTAACCACTTTGAGAAATGATTGCGATAGCTTTACCGTTGAGAATAGGCTTGGATTTCTTGGTAGAAGGGCTCGCCTGGTGCAACATGCACGTGAGGTGGTGGGATACGTCTGATTGCTCGGTGGCGACCACCAACATCCTTTCCTTCCTTCGCAAGGACCTGTTGAGCACGAGACGTTGACCGCAATCTCCAGTCAAATCTCGAAACGACATCTGGTACCGGACGCATATAGTTGCCTTCTTCATTCTGAATCCAATCATCTTGAAGGGGAGAAAAAGCATGGGCTACTGTTTGTAATGAAGAGCGAGAAGACGTTGAAAATTCAGCATTTAAAGATGACGGTATGGTACTTTTGTGAGGTGAGCAAATAGTATTGGTGAAAAAATTACGAATGCCTAGATAAGTCTGGCGACGGGAGGATAAAGATGGTATATAGTTCTTCAGGGATGAGCTGCACGACGCGTCCCTAGCATTCTGACAAGAAAGAACATTCTTGAACGAGCCCCGAGAACATTTGAGATAATGTGCCGCCAGAATGAGAGCTTTTCGACGTGATATCCCAGTCCTTAGGTGGCCGTTGTAGAAAGGTGTACTTCGCATGTATCACGGCATTCACGGTGACATTTCGTGACAATTGTAACTTTTTGTATGTCACAAGACTTTGGTGGCAATCACGAGCTCAATGAAGGTACAGTGAGCTTACCTTATTTCGTCTCAGAGGTCATACAACTGACAACTACGTTTGAAGAATCGACTACAATGCATCACAGATGCTGTATATTATTGATACACACACGCAATCTCGTCTCCTTTTCCTACATGGTACAAAGCATGGCAATAGCTGAAGTTCCCATAGCAAGACCAACGATAACTGTGAGCGCAGTGCCAGCGACACTTGCGTGGACACCAAAAGGCCCGTCCCAATCAGCAGGAAGCGTAAGAGCAACACTAGTCGCTGGAACCGTGATACCAGCCGAAGAACACGCCGCAACGTAGGCTATAGAGGGGAATAGTATGGTTGATGGAAGGGACATGGAGAATGATTACCGAAGACTAACCGGTCAATGCTGGGGTGGACCCTACTCTGGGGTCGGAGCTCACTGCGAAGTTGGCGATCAAGTCATCGAACATACACTGTTGGCAATTCGTTATGGCCGCGATAGTAGCAGTGTCGCAGAGGCAAGTGTCGTTTGTTCCACAGTTCTACGGGAAGAGTCAGGAAGTAGTATATGATGGGCTGTAAGACGGACGTACGTTGATCGCAGTGGTACCGTTGTTACATTGAGTCTGGCACTATATTTATATTGTTATCAGAATGAGAATATCTCAAAAGACAGCGTAAAGTGAACATACAGCAGCTAACACACTGGTGTCTGAAACATTGAGAAACTGGTTCGCAGAAATGTTCCCAGAAAATCCTGCGATTTCGATACTCAAGGACAACACTGTGGAAAGCTTTGAAAAGAGTTCTGATATCGAGGAAACAGTAAACATACCTCGACCAGCGAGCAACAGAAGGAAAGTGAAGCAGAAAAAGGAGTGCATTTCAGAAAAAGCCTACCAGAGGACGAAAAGAGACGACAAAGAATGTGGTGAGAAATACAAAGAATGGCTACACCTGTGAGTCTTATGCTACAGAGGATGGGAAAAACAAGGTCTAATGATAACTTGGTTGCGGTGTCAAAGGCTGTCGCTAGGAACAATGCTATAGCATAGGGTTAGGTGTTAAGAGACAATAGGGTTAAGGCCGCATCACGTGAACCATTGTTTGGCCACGCGTTTCGTGTCACCTCGTTTATCGTTTATCCCATCTGGCACGTTTGGAAAGGTAACTTGGACTCAACTTCCATAAACTTTCTAGCATTTATTGCATTATAATCGCAAATCAGTGGATATGGCACCAGTCGCGTATTCTGGTGCTCTGCAACCAAAAAAGAAGGCAGAACTACAACAGATAGCCGGCGCTCTTCGCATAAGCGACTCTGGTACACGAGAAGACCTACAGACCAGAATCAAAAAGCATCTCGAGGATAATCAGACCAAGCTAGAGGACGAACCGGTTTTCTCTGGATTATTTGGAAAGCGCAAGAAGAGCGTACAACCACAACCTTCGATAGGGTATGAACCCAGAGATCTCTGATGATGATGCCACATCAACTGATGCTTAATATACAGGCGATTTGTACCCTCAGATACCATGGAATCTATAGACGACAATGCAAGCATTAAGACATCCAGCAGTCCCGTTACTACCAGGTCTACTCGGCGTAACCCTGCGCTTGAAGCTCCGCGCGATATTACCCCTGTCTCAGATATTCGGGACGTTTCTATGATGTTGAAGAAACCTATATCTCCCGCTACGAACGCGTCGCCATCCACAAATCGCGATTCTCCAGCACCACGTAGTCAGCAGGTGGCATCTTCAGTCCCTATTACTGTATCTAGAATAGCCAACGCTGTTCCCAGCATTCCTATGAATGGTGTCGTCGACGTTTTCAGAAGGCAGGAAGATCAATTTCTACAATCTAGTAGTGATATGCTACTCAATCTGCGTACTGTATGTAACACTATCTAAATGTTTCTCGTTATGCTCTATTGACCTCGGTTTTGTTAGTTCCTCTCGAATTCACGGAACGTGTGGTCACTCACAGCTGTATTCGAGCTGATATATATCTTGTACACTGTTATTCCGTGGCAGTCAACTGAGGTTTGTCTTATTGTTTTGGCATGTCTGCCTGCTGTATTCATTGATTTGTCAAAAGGTTCCACTGTGGCCTACAACTTCCGCGCACGATGCATCATTTGTGTCAATTCCTTACCCACCATTGTCAATCTTCGAATCATCCACGTTCTGGACTGTTTTAATGCACTGGTCAATACCATCGCTATTCTTGCCATCGCTATTCGGAACTCTCATCTCATTCCACCCATCGAACTCGACGTCTACTCGCGGAGAGATGGGAGCGTTACCTCCTCCAGTGCTTCCCTTTGATGCGCTTACGGCTTCCATCATCAGGCTTGCTGCCCAGTTTGCTTATCCTTTTGACGTCCTTAACTCCAGCGTCGAAGGTATCGACGTCATTGGTCACCGATGGCGCGTCCTTAATGCGGCTGTCGGACTAGCCTTTGCGCTCGTGGAAGCAATCTACGGTGCTCCGGGAGCTTACGCTCAGAGAGCAGGACTAACTCAACATGACAGTCGTCCGAGGTCGTTGACGAACGATGACACCATCATAGCCATCCCTGAAGGCTCGAGCGCGAGATAATAATGTATTATATTTCTTGGTCCAGGATTAAATTTCTACTTATGATGGTTTGGATTTACGATTTTTTTTTTGTGTACCACTTGTCTTTCACAGGCTTTGTTGTTGCTATCGTTTTATAATCCGTGTAGCCATTTAAGCCGTCTGCCAAGTTTATAGCTTTGCGCTTTCCTTTGGAAATTTGTAGTAGGCTCTACAGTATTCTGCCTTTTGATTTGTATTGATTACGATAGCTTTTATGACTATTTATTTTCGCTTTTCTGTGCTGTTTTTGCGATGTTGGATTTTGTATGAGTCTACATGTACATGTTCTACTTTCTATTACAAGCTTCGAGTCGCTTTTCAGTAAAAGGCTGCATGTATACAAATGTACTACATGCCTATAGGGAGTTGTGACACCTAACAACTCGCTACAATTGTGCTCATGAAGCCAGCGCGATGAAGCTTTTAAATCTCAAAAGCTTGTCCAGTGCTTGACAAAACATATCCGCTGGGTTCAAATTGCGATTCGTAGCGCACAGCCACCACTTGCACACCTCCACGTCTACGAAAACAAAATGATGCTTGTCCATTTCACGAGTAAACCACAAACAGTGTAAGGCTCGCTAATACCTTCTAGGATGGCCTCGACATCCAGCAGTGCACCAAATGAACGAGGCGCTAACCTAATGAGGTCTTCGCTGTCGTCTGCATCTTCTTTGATGGCCCTCCAGCTTTTCTCTCGCCTCTTTACTTTTGCACTGAATCAGGCTTTATTTCGTTTGGCATCACCTCAAGCTTACGGGACCGCAGCGATACAATTCGAGCTCATACTTAGCACAATCCTGTTTCTCAGCCGGGAAGGCGTGAGGAATGCCCTTCTGCGCGCTTGGCCCCAGAAAGCTTCAGCGCAACGAGATGCAAAGGGCAAAAGAGTAAAAGATCCGTCGTACATTGATGCAGTAAAGGCAGCTACCAACTTGTCTACTCTTCCGTTCATCGTCGGCTTTCCTATTTCTGCGGTTACAGCACTGCTATACGGTCAATTTACTGCCGCTGAGACACGAAACCAGCCACATTTCCGTGCTGCGCTATTGATCTATGTCATTGCTGCTATGTCCGAACTGCTGAGCGAGCCAATGCACAATCAGTGAGTGGTTTTCTTTACAACAAGCTATAATGGTATTGATGATAATAGGGCAATGGGGGAAGTACGTACTCAGATTCGAGTCAGGGCCGAGGGTCTGGGAATCACTAGTAAAACTGCAGCAACTATCCTTGTGCTGCTTTACGATTCTCGCAGAGGGCGGGAAGCTGGTGAACTTTCTTTGATAGCCTTTGCGTTTGGTCAGATGATATATAGTCTGAGCATTTTCATGATGTACACCGTTCGCCTCGGTAGACCACCACTGTGGCCACAGCGCTTGCGACGCCCGTTCGCTAGCACGTACGTCCTTCCATCGGTACTTCCTTTATTTATCTTATCATCTTTCAAGTGAAGGTGTAGCGCATACAACTATGTCGAAGTATTTCGATCCTGCATCGTTATCTCTTTCGTGGAGTATGACGTCTCAGTCTCTCGTTAAGCATTTCTTGACCGAGGGTGATAAGTTCATCATATCATGGCTAAGTTCACTCGGGGATCAAGGAGGGTATGCTATCGCTGTGAATTACGGTAAGGGTCCATCTATCTCGGTAACCTTTCCCATTCACAAGGGATCCACCCAGGGTCCTTGATTGCACGTATTGTATTCCAGCCTGTCGAAGAAATATGCCGAGTGTTCTTTTCGAGAATATTGTCTTCTAGTAATGGCCAAGAAGGGTCTTCAGAAGCTCCATCCAAGGGAGGGGTAGACTATGAGTTGGCTATGAGACAAGCATCAGAAGCCTTGTTGTCTTTGCTATCCATCCAGCTCACTTTCACGATCATCGTTGTGATCTTCGGATCTTCGTATTTACCGGTATTCTTGCACTTGCTGCTCCCACCTCAATACCTATCCACGAGTGCCCCTCGAGTCCTTCTAGCTTGGGTTTATTATATACCATTCCTGGCCGTGAACGGAGGCTTAGAAGCATTTCTCTCCAGCGTTGCTACTCCTAAAGACTTAGCTAGACAGAGTCGGTATGATCAGGTTTCTCAGGTTTCTGCACTCTGTACTGATAATGATCGGGTGCAGATGGATGGCCGTATTTTCACTGATTTATGTCGGTGCTGCAATCACACTCTATTCTCTGCAATTTGGCGACACCTCCCTGGTATATGCAAACATCGTCAATCTGTCTGCACGCATCATATACGCCTTATATTTCGTCTTCTCGTTTTTCCGGACACGCCAGATGGGACATCTACTCAAATGGAGGAATGTCTGGCCTACGTGGCAGATCCTCCTGACCTCCATGCTGTCCTTTTCGTTGATAACATATAGTGGAAGACACTTCAGGGTTATGACCATACTCAGGGAAGGTGGACGAGGAGCGTTGCTCACTGTACCTGTCCTGGCCCATCTTGGGCTTGGTGTTACGCTTGGCCTAACATGCGTAGCAGTGTGGTGGATATCATGCGGGCAGAAGCTGGTCGCGCAGAGCCGGCCGAAGGTAGCATAATGCACATGTATGATTATAGACGATCAAGGAGATGGGCGGGAAAATATATGGATACACTAAAATGATGCTATGTAAGTGTATATCTCAAGCTAGCTTTTGTGGTCCCTCGTTGAACGATCGTATGAGCACCATACGTATCTTATTCAGTGGGTACGTCAGCTACTCAGCGTGCGTTTACTTTCTTCTCATACCTTCTACGGTAGCGCAATTCACTGACGCACACTTAGTTTGCTTTTCTAGCTTACCATTATTTGGCACAGTGCCGGAACAGGGAAAATTGTCGATTTCTGCCCATTTTTTGCTTTCTCATATTCGCTACCCCTTGCCTTTTGATTTCCGTAAACATACTGTATTTACACTGGGTCCTAGTTAACATCATCCTGTCCTATATATACGGGTCAAGCCCAAACATCTGTTTTCTTGTCAATCAGGGAATGTGAGTTACACTGCGTGCTGCCGTCGCAAGCCACCGCAATCAGAAATCAGCCCAAAGATCAGCTTTCCTGTCAATCAGGGAACTTGCATTAGGCTGGGTACTACCATCACAAGTGACCGTAATCAGACATTATACAGTAACCTTAGATCAGAACGTGGTTTAACAGACCTTTGTTCTGCACTATACTTTGACGGCTTGGATTTGGTTAAGCGCACACGGTTTAAGAGTCGTCGTGCAACCTGAGGAAGCCTAGAGGGCTTCGCGGGTTCCGGGGAAGAGGACTTTGTAGGTTCCGGGGAGGGTTTAGCGGGTTCCGACGGGGAGTCCGGGTTCGTGCTTGGGGGGTCTAAGTTCGAGCCTACGATTCCACTCGTGCTCCCAATTCTAGCACTCCTCTCCTAACGTTGGGAAGAACTTGGTCCTGCTCCCATAGCTTCGGATAGTACATCGTTCTGCTTCAAGAGTAAGGGCTGATCATATATTTGTAACCCACTTGTGCCATGAGTCGAAGTGGATCTATTGATTACATACTCCTAAATGTATGTTCAGCTTAAGAACCAGCTATAGCCGCTGACGGAAGGAATACGCTTACCGGCCGTTTGTAGTGGTGAGACGGTGCAATCTCTTCTTTACTTTTCAATTGACTTGGAATGTCGTTGCCACTTGGAGATAGAGTATAACACCACTCATCATCGTGGACGATAACAACATCAGAGGAGGAGCTCTGAGGTTAGAAAAGGTCAACATGTTGAAGAGACTAGCCCTCGGCAGGTATACCTTGAACTTGGATTCGAACAAATCATCAGCTGGATCGTAATCCTAGATGCGTAATATAATTAGAATCAGTTGGATGAGCAAAGATCCAAAAAGAGATCGAACACACCGATTGCTCGTGAGGAATATACTCAACCTCGAAATCCGACTCTTCGTTATCGCTGAATTCACCCTCGTAATGCCTCTGCAGCGACATGCCATCCTCTTCCCCACGTCTTGGGGAATCTGGCCCTGGCTCAGCAGCGGCCTTGATAATTTTAGGTGCGAGGATTAATCTATCGCGGATGCGGTAGCCCCTAATAAATATTGTTTGGTCGTACTTGATAGTACCCTGACAAATAGGACCTGTTCTGTGCTGCACAGATTGATCATGCGTCCACGTCCCAGCCGCTTCAAGTTGTCCCGAAATCCCAGATGGAATGCCAAGGGTGAAAGACACATGGGCATTACGTGTCTTACCGCTAAAGACAGCTGAAGCCCACTCAGCTGTTTTGTCGCATCCTGTAACAAGCATGATTTTTCCATGTTCGACTCCATGACGCAAACGACCATTTACAAACTGATACCAGCTCCGGAAATGAGTTCGAATGTACTCTTCGAAGCCCTCTCGCATGATGACATGACATCTTCGCGATCGGTACGCCTCGTTAGTACCAAGATAGCGCCTCGATTACTAGAGCACGAGAACTGTAGATTGGCGCCAGCGACGGTCGGACTCCCAGGCCTGAGTGTCTGTAAGAACCCACATATATCGATGCATGATCAAAATACGAACCCTGTTGCCGAGGCCGCAATTCCTATCTTGGAGACACTCTGACTATATAATGGAGCACCTGGATCTAGGAGTTTCTCAAACCTGCGGATCGAGCCTTGGGGAAGCTGTAGCTGCACAAAGCCCTCCGGAACTCCATATAGCGCGTTTGAAGGGTGGTCGGACGCCCTGGTGGCATTGAACAGTCTATGAAAGACTCCCTCCCGGACGTAGCCCACGTCGCCTACTGTCACTTCATCATACATGCAAGGTTCCGGGAACCAGAGGGGATAACCATGGCATAGTTCAGATAACTGTTGAGCATAAATATTGTAGGCAGCCATGGGTGGACGAAAGAGGTAGGCGCTGATGGATGAAAATACCTGGCTTCTGCATCGTCCTTTTTGTTGGTATCAAAGATAGGTCCTTCAAGATTATCGTATAGGCTGTGTTGAGGATAAATGGATAATGAGCACTGCTCAATATTTTACTTGTCCCGGTCCATGATGACCGCCCATATCCAGTGTTACGCTTTGCAGCTCGGCAAGCACCGTTGTTTCTATGCTGGCACTTCTGCCAGGCTCCTACTCACCCGGTAGTCTTGTTCAATATAAGGCTGTTTTGCGGGGTGCCTCCATTCTATAGTTTTGAGTAGCAATAAATCAACCGGCATATGACAGCTTCACAGCCATCTTTGTACAGTGGCCCATTGGTTACGGTTGAAAACCTTGAACATGCCGGTCGCATATTATTTTTCAACCCCAGCTTCATCAAATTTATTTTTAATTGATAGGATGGCATTGGTAAATCCCCAATGTGGATAAAAAGAACCTATACACACATGGGTGATTTCAAGGGACGTTCGAGAAATCAAGAAAACAAGCATTGATGTGGCATTTGAGCATTTCAGATACAAAAATTTATGCGTAGCATACAAGATATATTCTATTATTCAACCCACACCCAGCCTGCACCATGAAACTACGGGAGTATTTCAGTCTTGTCAGCATCAATAGCACTCTCCATGCTCAGGCTGCTGGTATCTATGGATGGATGTGCAATGAGTATAAACGGCACGGCTCACAGATGTGACCAGAGGAGATGTGGTCTGCCTGCTGGAATTAACGAGTGCCAGTAGCTCATGATTGAGATAAACTCACCAGGAAGAGAATATTCTGATACGGCGCCCTCTAGTCACCCAATAGAATGGGGGAGGGGCCCCGGGTTCAGGTATGTTGTAAGTCACACCATGATACTGTAGGTGCAAGAATAAGAATAGGGCACAGAATGATAAAATTGGATAATGACCAGACCAGGGATTGAACCTGGAACCTTCTGGATACATGCCAGCTGCTCTACCAATTGAGCTATATGGCCAAGGTTATACAATGTAGGATCTTAAACATGACATGCAACCACGGACGTCTTACACAGAATAGCTGCTGCATACTGGGCTGGCTTACAAATCAGAGGTATTATTCTATGGAGTATTGGTATGTCAGAGTATATTCTAACACAGAAGGCACACTAATCTGGTTGATGGGTGCTATAGCAGCAGGGAGCATAACGGGTGCACTAAGCCCAAGCACAGCAGTGGCAGCAGAAGCCACTGGGAGAGTGGGAGTCAGAGTGGGAGCTGGAGCTGGCATCGGGGCAGGAGTAGGTGTGAGTGTGGATGCTGATGTGGCCAAAGTGATGGCAGAGGTTGTGCAACTGGCAGCTTGTTGAATGACAGTGGATATCCGCATGACAGCATCGTCATTATTGATATGGATAGATGAGAGCAGCATGAGTATGTTGTCTAGGAGACATTATCAGGTCAGCGTCTGGTATGCTATTCACAAGGTTACTACAACTTACTAAGGGTGGCACTGTCAGACTATTATCCCCAGTGCAAGCAGATGCAGTGGAGGCATCGGCTTGGTTGGGGGAGGAGATTGATGAGCTGTCACAACCAGAGTTTTATACTCTGGCGCACACAATGACAAGCTATAGAGGATAGAATGAGGAGTGGGTAAGCCCCTTAAAGTAGACCGAGTTTGTTGTGGGTAAACAACAGGAGGACTTGCTGAGGAGTCTTCTTGATCTATTGGGGCATATATACTACTACAGGTTGTTTGTACATATGTACTATACAGTTGATGGAGGTAGTGGCTGATGATGTCATGGGGCACAGCCTGTGTGACCAGCTCCACTGTGTGAGATACTTGTAGCTAAAAATAAGAAAAAGCAGCATAGCGTGAGAAGGTGGAGTTTGAACAAATAATGGAAAGTGCTGCATGGCACAGGGTGTGAAGACTACAGAAGAAAGTTAAAGAGGAGAATGAAATTTAAAGGTCCAAAAATTGTGTATCGTAACACTACCCACTTTCTAAAGCTCGACTTCCAGGCGAGACCAAGTACCGGAGGTAGTAGTTAAATTTTTGGGTATAGGTTGAAAAAGGATTTTAAAAAGATTTGAATCCATACCTCTGAGCTTCCTAGGAGCTAAAGGATTCTTAGAATAAGATTTGCAAACAATATTGCAGGAGTTGTCCAGATGGGCTTCTGGTTCCCGTATTCTGTCCTTGTCTCCATAGCCCTCCCATAGGACTAGGAATTCTAATTTTCCACACTTCAAGCATGCATCTACTACTTGTTCAACTTTGAACTCTTCTTCACCTTTCTGGGTGACTACCACCGGTCTGGGCTGGTGTCGATGATGAGAACTGTTGTTAGAAAAAAAACACACACAAAACAAACTAACACACAATCCTCCCAGATTCCAAGGAACTTGTTTATGGGCTTTGCCTCCTAGAACAGTGGAGTGGTCTGGTTGTTCGTGGGGTGGTACGTATAAAGATCCTTCAAAGTAAAAACCCAGTGGTGTATGAGTGTGGGTTTTGAGGAGGAGGGATAGTTGAATTTATAGAAGATAGGGGCTTAGTAATGAGTATAGATGAGCACTACCTTGCTAATCGTAGCACAAGGTAGGTTTGAGAACAACAATATGACGAGGTTCCCAGTGATAGCAGGCTCCTGACGCACAAACTGTAGTGCTCAGAAGGACTCTAATCGAAAGGGATGACAATGACTTCAAAAGTGGGAAGTGATGATGACAGCAATTAACAGTGGTAGCAGTGGGAAGTGTTGTGACTACACTGGATCACAAGTAGCAGAGAGTAGTGAACTTGAGATTAGAGAAGAAGTCTGGAATTGAGTTCTTGTTGTTTTTACAAGGTAAAATACAGGGGTTTATATAGTAAAAGAAAAGTAGGCTATGCACAGTATAGCTGTGCAAAAAGAATGAGAAAGAACATGAAGGAAGGAATGTATGCTGACAAATCCTGCGTAGGTAGTACAGGATAAGATTGTCAAAAAAGGAAAAGAAAGAGATAGAACAATGAATGCTGTGAGTAATGTCACAGGTTTGTACAGCCATAAAGTAAAGTCCAATAGCAAAAAGAGAGCAGGAAAATCATGATGTCATGGGAAGATGCAGTAAAAAAAGGGCAAGGCAAAACACTATCAGTATCAACACAGTTCCTTTATTGTCAGTCAGGCATTCTAAAAAAATATGTGTCCATAAAAATGATTCAAAAATCAAAAATAATCGCACTGTAAATGAATGTTCTGCTGAAGAAAAAGAAACTGGAGCCACCGGTCCACCACCTAGTCTAAATCCGACAGTTCCATGGCCTTACCAATGGACTGGTTGTGTTGGACCACCTGATCAAACGAGGGAGGGAGAGGAGTAGTTCCAATTTGGAATAAGTGAGTCCCAGGCAGCGTGTGGTAGGTGTAGCTGTAGCGAAGACAATGGACAAAAGATAAGTGTACCCAAGTGAATGGGACAGCGATGAACATGGGCGACGCAAGGGGATGAACCTTCTCCAGCTCAAAAACTACCCACCCATGCTCCAACCAGGCAAGACGAGCGACCGACATTTTGATAGTATATGATGGCAGATCAACGTCATGAAGATGGACCTGTTGCCCTATTTGGACCGGCCGCCGGGGCTTTGCTGATATCAGCAGTGGCACGTGGTAGTCAACGGATTGGCGACGGAAGCGGATAGGAAGTGGTGACATCAGAAATGGTGGGGGTGCAAATAAGATGAGGAGGAGGAGGGTGGAGGTGACGAAAAAGTGGATTAGAATGGGGATCCAGAAACGACCATCAGGTGAGAATAAAAAGGAGAGGAAGGGGCCCATGGTGGGGCTAGGCAAAGGAAGGGGAGTAAGGGAAACGACAAAAGCGAGGGCGCAATGCAATGTGTAGCCAGTGGCGACGCGAAAATTTGCCGAAATGCCGAAATGCGGAAAGTACCGGATGGAAAAGCAAAGGTGAGCGTGACTGGATTGCCTAATAGAGGTGGTGCTGATCAGCCACAAGTTCGAAAAAGGCAATATTAATTACTATTCCATGTGGCACTGTGCCCGTGTGGCGCAAAGGCGAGTCTTTTTGAATATTTGCTTCGTTATTGACACCTGTCCATGCTACCAATCAACTTTGGTGCATGACAGCGCCCATATTAGCATTTCCAGAATTGGACAAAGAGTTCCGGCTAGAAACCGACTCTTCTGATTTTGCTACTGGGGCTGTTCTATCAATTAAATGCCCTGACGATCTTTGGAGGCCTTGTGCCTATTTATCGCATAGTTTGTCGCCTACAGAGCGCAACTATCAAATATATGATAAGGAGATGCTGGCCATCATTAGAGCTCTAGAGCACTGGCGGCACTACTTAGAAGGTGCTAGACACCAATTTGAAATTTGGACTGATCATAAGAATCTGGAGTATTTTATGACGGCCCGAGACTTGAACCGAAGACAGGCCCGCTACGCAGTATACTTGTCAAGGTTTAATTATAAATTAATTCATAAGCCTGGAAGCTCTATGGGGAAAGCGGACACTTTGTCCAGAAGAGAGGATCATGCCAACGGCATCGAAGATGACAACAAAGGTGTTACCCTGATAGACCAATCAAGGGTTGCCAATGTTAGAATCGGGCAGGATTCCGATCTTCTGGAAATCTTCAAGAAAGACATCTCCTCAGAAGAGAAGGTGCGCCTTGATGGCAATGAAAACTATTTATGGGAAGACAGGCTCTTCCATTTTAAAGACAAAATCTATGTGCCTGAGTCTGCAAGGATCAAGGCAATAGACAGACATCACGACACTCCAGTGGCTGGGCACCCTGGGTGGCAACGAACAATGGAGTTGATCTCCAGAAACTACATGTGGCCTGGCATGGTCAAAGACGTACAGGAATACGTAAAATCCTGTCTGAGATGTGCCATGGCTAAGAATTCTCACCAACCGCGGCTCTCTGAGCGGCTCCGAGCAGAAATATTTATAGATGAAGTCAGTGTCAGCCATTGCAATGGTGTTAGCCTCTTGATGATAATAATTATAGTGATGCAGCGGACGAAAAACATTACATACACACAATGAAAACAAGGAAATATCAGATCCCATATGATTATAAGTGTACTACATCTCAAGCAAGCTTCTGTGCTCCCTCATTGAGCCATCGGTCGTAATTGAACGTGATGGGTAGGCTGTCTTTTCGCCCCCCATCTAGATACTGTGCCGTCCCTAGTTCCGCATAAGAGGCGTAGAAATTCAAAGGCACCTCGGCACTCCAATCGTAAACATCTCCCATAGCCTTTCCGACAAACTTCTCATACAATTCCTTATCTGCGGCCTCTGCCTCATCAGGCGGTGCTTGCAGTAGAAAATGGCACTGCTCAATATACCTGTAAAGCAGTTCAGTCAAGAAACGCAAAAGCAGCGTAGGGTGAGGATACAGACTGTTGATATTCTGCCTTTTCCTCGTTGGAAACGATAGGGTCTAATAGTCGTTTGGCTATCGCTTCCGTAGATCGATGATCATGTTCGGGATCCTGGTGTGTCTTCTGATGTTTCTCCACCTTTGAGCTTGGCCTTCTGTTAGAAGTTTGAACACGCGAAGTGGGATGAGCGCCAATCCATCGTCGGACTCCTTCCATGAGCCTTAAATGCGATATCAAAATACAGATCCGTAGCAAGAGGAGAATATGTCATACCTCGGATGATGCACGGAACGAGTACTATGCGGGAGGAAAGGACTGGTATTGATGTCCTTCGCCGTTTTACTACAAAATACTTATGAGCTTAGAAGAGAGAAGGGCAGTGACAGGGACAAGGACGCACCCAGGAAGCTTCAATGTGCTGTTCATCGAATACGCAAAGTGTTTTCCCAATGTCGTAAAGAGCAAAGGACGGTAGTACTCAATCCAGAAATCTCCTCTTGCTTGGACGAAGTCCCGAATTGCTCTGTCACATTCATCGACGACGTAGGCCGGCCGAAGGTGTTCCTCGTGGAACCATTTCTGGTAGCCACCCCGTTTGGGAGGATGGACACTGGTGCGCTCGCTGCGGACACCAAGGAATAGGTTGATCGCCATCTGCTTGTCAGCATCTACGGAGTGAATCAAATGGCATAAGGTATATTGAATAATGTCCGGACATTGTACATACCTAGAAGAGAGTTAGTGTAGAAACGCCGTATGTTTTCGATTATGTCTCGTGAGTGGCTATTCCAGTGAGGCATGCGCCGGTATGTCTCAACTCGGTTTACGAGGGCACTTCCTGTGTACTGTAGGGCAATGGCTACTTTACAGTTAGAGAAGGCAGGGGAGAAATATTAAAGTGCGAGTAAGACTCACTATCTCCGTGATCATGGTACATCTCCGTTAACATATTCACAGCGTCCGAATCGAAAGCAAGGTTGGGGCTGTCGACGACGCCAAGGGCGTACAGCTGGTGTCCCAGAGCACGCTTCCCGAAAACGAACTGTGCAGCGTTGGTGCGATCTAGACAGTCAACACAATTTGTTCGACAGATACCGTTCTGAAGGGAGATGTGGTTGCGCCAAGGGGGTCGCTCTTCGTCACTGTAGCGCATAATATCAATGGCTGAAAGCATACCTACTTGGTACCACTCACTCAATATCATTTTGCAGAAAGTGCGAGTATGGCTCAGGTCCGGAGTGGAAAAACCCGGTAATCAGGATAGATTCTTCCGCGATGTCTTCGAGGTAGCTAATCACGTCTTGTGTTTTTCTACATTATCTTTAATATTACTAGGGTCTGAAAATGAGGGAATGAACATTATACTCTTTGTATGCACGAGACATATCCCAAGCGCGATAAATCATTTTCTTGTCTTCCGGAAGAAACTGATTGAGGTATTTGACGCATTGTGTGTACTCTTCTAGTAGCTTTGATTCCCTAGGTACAGGCTCACGCCTTTTTATCAGGTTGAGTACAGTGATCGGGGCTCCATATCGTCTGAAAAGGTCATCGAAGTGTCGGGATGCAGCAGTATAAAAAGGATCGATGACATTGACTGGGAAAGAGGTCAGCAATGTGGTCAATGCAAAACATATAGGCACCAACATACTTTCAATAGGTGGTCTAGGACTCATATTTGTCGTTTCTTGCGTCCAGTGAATGGGGATGCTTCCTCTATACTAGATACATCGTTTTCTCGGTCAAAGGTAGGAGAATAAGTGGCTATGGGGGGTGTTACCTGAACGTAGCTAGTGTAGTGGGGGCTGGGACGGCGCAGCTGCCCCTCTGGGGGTGAGTCCCTTCCTGGTGGTGAATAAAATGCGGTCGTGAGGGCTTCTGAGACTATTTGTTCAGTTTCAACTTCGTTGGCGACATTGCCCTACGAAGCAAACTCAGGGATGCGAAGAGGATAGTATGTTACATAGATTTAGGTACCTCCTCGTTGACACCTCTTTTGAGATACCTTGCGCCTGCATAGTGACGGGACCTACGAGCTATGAGAGTGACAAAAACGACTCGGCCTAGAACAGTCAACTCTGGGAAGGCGAGTCAAGTTAGTGAGTGGGATATGAGTGACAACTTTCGCCGAACTGCGAAGTCGACAAAAGTAGGGAATACTCACTGGCTTGATCGACGTGACCGTGAACGAGAGGTAGCATCCAGTGAGATCTCACGACATGTTCCGTTTCATTTTCGAAAGGCGAAGACAGCATATGAAAGTTCCAGGCATAACGGTCAGTGAAAGGCCACATGTCTCCTGCAAAGCGGCCTATTTGTGTCAAATTACGCTGGAGAGTTGATGTCAAGTCGTATGAGTAACTACAATGGCTGTCAGTCTGAAGTAAGGTTCCTTGAGTCGTGCAAATACCTGAAGTAGAAATTCTTAGACATGTCCACTTGTTTGAATACGTTCATCAGACGCTGCTCCTCGGCAGGTTTCTCGATCTTGTGATTAATACAGACGGGAATCATTTCGGTACTCTCGCAATGGTAGAGATAATGACCGCCCAGGAGAGCTACGACGGAACGCTCGGAGATTATAAGCATATACCAGCCTGCAGTAAACTTCACGAATCCTGATACGAGTCAGAACTGGGCATATTTTCACCATAGTGTACGGCCCTCTTACCAGCAACTCCGAAGAACACGCGTGGTTTTCCCAAACCACCCGAGCCTTTGTTACCATCGTCAAGCATTTTGAGCATCGCACTCATCTGCTTCCCGCTGTACTCAGTCTCGTCTTCGACGATGGTGAGGTCGCACTGGGAGGTTCGGTCGATTTTAATGATACGATGGCGAGAGTCGGACGCATTGGAGGCAATGATGTAGAAGCGAAGTTTGTTCTCGTACAGAATGTATTTGTTGAAAGCGAGAGACTTGGCTGGATGAGGGCGCAGAGGTTGCAGTAACGAAGACGAGGAAAGACGTGCGGATGGGTGTAGGTGGGCAGATCGACATTTGTCGGCGTGCGAGGGGGCAAGATCCTGTGAGACGCTGGTGGGCGTGCATGGAACCGACACGGGAGTTACAGTTTCGCTCGTAGTCGAAGACGAGGTCAATAAAGCACCACTGAACGAGTTTGAAGGCGTTTCAGCCGCGACCGAGGACATGTCCTGGCAGGAGTCAACTGGTGGGTCTACATTTGGTTCAGATACCTTCAAGCTGGGCACAGAACACGCTGTATCGTCAGGAACCATCGCAGGCTCTTGTGCCAACGCCATTTATGCGACCAATATGGCTTATATGTGAATACTATAGCATCCTAAGCTTGGGCGTTCTAAGTTGCAAGAAGCGAAGGCAAGCGAAGGAGTGAAAGGCAGCGGCCTCGAGGATTGAGCTCTGAGTGCTATATTGAGCCAGTCCATTACCCTGTTATGTAAGCGCAGTACTATTGCTGCGTTCTCTCTAAGAAACTCAACCTGCAGTGAGCTCCGCGTCTTTTCTTTCGTGTCATATATTCCTATCTTTCACTGTGATTGCTGGAATATCGAAGCTACTGATATGGCTGCAGAAGTCACGATAGATGAAATTGATGAGGTATCTGTGTTCTGCTCGCAGTAACCCGCAATTTTGGCTCATTCGTCCCAGTCACAGCTTTCGGGTGAAAATGGCGAACTTTACCTCTTTCAGTGGCTCTGTTCTCTCGAAGAAAAGCTCAAAGATGCACCTCATGTACGAACATTTATTCATTCAGCAATATCGTCCATACTCATACTCCCCAGGACCAAATCAAAGCATCGCAACCGCATGTAGAATCGACTCTTGTCAAGGCTATCACCCGTGCAGACCAGTATCCTATCCCTGGTCGCATTCTGAGAAACCCTGTTGCAAGATGTCTCATCTCATTATACACACGAGGAGAATCAAAGACCCTTTTCGATACTTTGCAAACATTCGTTAAGGTTGCCGGAGATTTCAAATCATCTGACAAGGAAACTGTTAGAACGTGAGCTCTAGCACACTTTTCTATATGTACAACACAATGACTTACTTCAATCTAGAGCCGCATTATATTGCATTGGGGAATTGATGGCCGTTTTTGGCTCACAAGTATGCTCTCTCCGAGTTATCGCGTACTGTTCTCACACCTACTATTAGTTCATGTCATTCATGGTTGAAATCGCCACTATCTCGCTGAAAACATATAAATCATCAGGGGTATGTAGCTTTAGCTTTATATCACTCAAGCCATTGCTCATGACGACGTCGTTCCTGCATTCTCTCTTCAAAGTCCCCACTTATCCGGCATCACGCTTTATCAGCGTTGCGAAAAGCCCTTACAACAGCAAGGAAGGCCGTAACAGACGCAATCTCGAAAGACATCATCAAGCAAATGAAATATGGACTCAGTGACAAGGCACTAGCTGTCCAACGCGCTGCAGCAGGAGTAAGTAGATCTCTCTAGGTCGTTCTATATCCCTAATGAGCTTTTCTTAGGTTCTGATAGCTATGTATCCGCCCGAAGAGATCATCACTGTTGGCGAAGTCGAATCAATAGTCATCCTTTCTACTAAAAATCTCGACAACGCAGATCATGTCACGCGGCAGTCTCTCGCTCAATTGGTCGGACATGTACTATCTCTCACGCAAATAGAACGCGTCATTCCTGCTCCTGAATCCACTCAGAAGGGGAAGAAAGAGAATGAGGAGGATCAAGAATCTGCTCCTTCGCATATGACCTCGGAACAGACGAAAGCACTGCTTTCTCCTCAAGAGATGTTTTCTCAGCTATCGTCCCTATTTAACAAACCACAGACATCACGGAAGGCTAGGGCTGGCATCTTCGATTTCTATATAGCACTCCTAAACAAGCTTGGCTCCAGTTTCGCAGAGAGCAACTACGCTCTCATCGTTAGTCATCTGATGACTGAGATCGTTTCAAACCCGAAAAACTCTGCTACTAGATACGACAAATTGTTTCTTAGAAAGCTTATAGGACTGCTGCTGCGAGACTTGATTGCCGTTCGCATGCTGACTGAGCAGGGGCAAATAGGTGCCATTAGGGAGCTATCGTCTTCATACCTGAAGAGATGGCCTGCCTTAATGCCAGGTCACCTTTCCCCCAATTCGCTCGTACTCACGATAGTACTGAGGGAACTGGCTGGTTTGTTGCAGCAACTTGGAAACGCTCCTCCTCCAGTCCAGGTACGTATCATCGATGTATTCCAACATAGCACGAGTTCTGACGATTGATACCCTACACCAGGAAGCTGTGTCAGAACCCTTGGTAACCCTGCTTTCGCACTCAAGTCATACAGTCCGTGTGAATGCTGCTTGGGCTTTGCGATGCTTCTGTTATTCAACGCCGCTGCGCTTACCGAAAGTTATATTGGTCATCATTGAGTTTTTGCAGCGTGATATCGATTCCTTGCAGTCTCCGGCAGCACCATCCGATGTCGATCTCCGTGCGTTAGGCCATGCTTACGGTCTTGCTGCCCTGGTTGCTATCATCCCACGGCGCCCGCTGTACGTCTCCTATGATATTACTGCAAAAGTACTCGACATTGCGACCCAGCTCTTGAAACGTGCCAGTGACCACGATGTTAAAATCGCCGGAGTAGAAGTAGAAGTTGCTTGGACTTGCATAGCTTCCCTCATGCTGCTAGGGCCCAATTTCGTCAGGCCACACCTTCCACAACTACTGGTTCTATGGCGTAATGCCTTGCCAAAACCTACGAGCAAAGATAACCCAACAGGACGCACTGTTGCAGAATGGGAGTTCCTTCTTCATGTTCGGGAAAGTGCACTCGGTGCTATCCTTTGCTTTTTACGCCATAACACCCCACTTCTTACCCTCGATGTTGCGCGCCGCGTGTCAACTTTATTGGGCAACGCATTGTCTTTCTTAAATACGATTAACTCTCAAAGTTTCGAGGATTCTTCTACTTCCATGCAAACTGACCAAAAAGGTCTATCCCTTCGATCAAGAGAGGCCTTACTCCGTCGCAGAGTTTACCAGGCTTTCACAGCGCTTGGGACGGCAAGTCTGACTGAATCTGTTCAAACGACCTTACTGCAATCTGCGATCGCTCTTTTCGCAAGTCCAGATGGTTTCGCTGGTTCCTCTATGCAGGCTGCGATTGCATCGTCCTCGGGAGCACTTACTTCGATTTGGCAGTGTGCAGACGGTTACGCGTATGGAGTTACTTCTATTGATATTGCGGAAGGTGGTGCAGAAGGAGACGGTCAGTCAGCTGCTACGAGTCATTCTCGTGTCACATTGGTTGAAGAAACTACGGATATGCTGGTAAGCTCGTTGCAATGGTCGTGACAATGCAACTCCCTGATTATCTCTTGCCAAAGCTTTGCAAACCATCGCTGTGGGCACCTGAGCATGACACACTCTCACTATGCCCAGACAACTCTCCAGAAGACGAGTTTCGACTAGTGGAAGCACCTTCACCCATCACTGCTGTTGTAGACTCGGCCATAGAACTCTTTGCGCAACTTCTGCCGGTTCAGGATCTTGCGTCCACAACGCGTACAGTATCTCAGTTGGTGGAAACAGTCCGATCGAGTAAGCTTGAGAAGAACGCCGGTCGTAGAACTGCTATGTTCGTCAATAGCGTCATAGCTATTGTCCAGAGTTTACGCCATGCAATGACGTCTCATTATCGTCAGGCTCGAGAGACGTTTGGGAGTTCTCAGATTACTTCAGTGATTGCCCCATTTATGAAGGTACTTTCACCTTGCGTATACTATTTTCTTTGCATTACTCAATATGTTGAAACAGGATGCACTCGTTGACGGGGATAGTGTTCTAAGGTCTGCTAGCAGCGAAGCCATCGGTCGAATGGCCAACATTGCAGGCACCACCTTCTTAACCAGTCAAATTAAAGTCTTGGTGGATCATGTTGTCAACAACCGTGACCCTCAAGGTCGAGCTGGGTGTGCCTTAGCCTTTGGCGCCATCTATAGCCATGTCGGTGGCCTCGCTGCAGGTCCTCTTTTGAAGACGACGGTTAACATCCTGATGTCCTTGAGCAATGACCCGCACCCCTTGGTTCATTTTTGGTCACTAAATGCCCTGGCTCGTGTGATCAACGCCGCAAATCTTGCTTACTCGTCTTTCGTACCCGGAACTCTAGGCATGCTTTTGAAGATATACAACCTGGATTCTCACGAAATAGAGGGTGGAACCTTGAACAATTCAAACTCCAGTGGTGACCTTGCAGCGTATCCAGTGGTCTGCCAAATCATTGATGCGATCATCACCGTCCTTGGACCTGATATACAAGATTCGGTGCGGACAAGGACCCTTGTGCTCAATATGGTCCATGAATTTTCTCTGGAAGATGACGATGATATTTGTGTGGAGGCAATCAAGTGCATGCAGCATTTCCTTATGTTCGCGCCTGAACACGTTCACATTCCGGAGATGGTCGATCGTTTCAGATATCACTTGGCTTCTTCCAGACGCAAGCTCAAACTTGCTTCAATAGATGCTCTCTATCAGCTTGTCCAAAGGGATGCACTGGCGATGTCTCGATTGGGAGGTGATCGACTTGTCGAACATCTCTTTGGTATGTTGGATGATGATTCTTCGGTGGAAGGTGTCAAGAATGTCATCTCCAGCTGGTTGCAACAAACTGCTGTACATAATCCTTCAGCTTGGATTGATTTATGTCAGAGGATTATGTTACGAACAACAGCATCCCAACAGGTAGCTACTATCACAAGTAACACCAACGATGACGAAGGAGAATCCCTTAGTGGCACCATGGCCTCAGAGGCCAACAATCAACATCAAAGTACTGCCTTCCCTATATCTCGTTGGCGAACTCAGCTTTTCGCACTACATTGTCTTCACGATATCTGCACTATTCTAACTCGGTCTGGAAGGAGAGAGCATTTTGATATCCCCTTTGCCCGTAGCCATGGTCTTGCTTCGACCGGACTTCTCGTTTCTCGAGTGCCTGATCTTATAAAGATGGCATTTACAGCATCTGCAGCGTACGTGACCGAGATTCGACTAGAGGGACTCGTAGTTTTACAAGATGTCATCAAGGTACTGAATCATATCGTTGCTTGTGTCTTATTTCTCATACGTATTTTACAGATCTTCGCTAAATCTCCCGACCCCGACTATAGCGATGCTCTTCTTCTCGAACAACATCAAGCTCCCATTACTGCTGCTCTGACACCAGCCTTCTCTGCCGACTCAACCCCAGAAATACTAGCATCTGCCATACGCGCCTGTGCAGTATTTGTTGGATGCGGTATCATAAAAGAAGTCAACCGTATGGGGCGTGTGCTCAAGATGCTCACGCTTGCTCTTGAACAATTAAACGGTCAGAACTTGAATCATCTACCTGTTTTTATATACTAATGGACAATGATTGTTTTTAGATACCGGAAATCTATCTCTAGGGGATTCTGTGGATTTGAGTCCAAACGCTTCTGGCATGTTACGCATATCAGTCCTGTCGGCATGGGCACAATTGGAAAGTGCCAGTGCTGAGCAGACTTATCTACTTGATATTCTCAAACCTCACCGAAGGACGCTTGCAACTTTGTGGATTGCCAGCTTGCGTGATTATGCAGTTATCCGCGCCGACTCGGAATTCATCCAAGACGCGTCATCGGCATTGGATCCATCCTTCTCCAGCCTAGGGAAGGTTGTTTTGCTGCCGGTATGTACATCTCGTCACTTACTCTTACTCTTACTTTCCTAGTTTAAACGATCATCTAGTATTATATAGAGTACTGGCCCATCATTCTTCAAGCCGTCGCAAGTGCCATGGAACATTCGGATCCCCACATTAAGTCTGCCATTCTTGGGCAAATCGTCCCACCTAACGCTCCAGCACCGAACTCCACGCCTCGTACGGAGCCGGCCGATTTCTTTTTCATAATCTTCGGACAGGTATACGAAGCACTGACAACTGCATCTCCGGGCCCTACCGAAGCTCGTACGACCGTTATGATTGCTGCACTCAGAGCCCTTAAATGCATCGTTTCTCCTCAGTACTCCGGGAAGGCTCTACTAGATCCGATCATTCTCAGAGAGTTTACTAGCCTTTGTTACCGTTTGGCCATGGTAGAGTCGGCAAATATCCTGGTTCATCTGCTTGATGTTCTCGTCGCCTTTCAATCTGGATTCGAGGATCTGGAGAAGAGCGAGGTCTTCAGGTATGTTTGTATCCCTGCTATGTAATCTGCCATCATATTGACGTAGCGATACAAGTGCTGCACCTAGTTCCGTCCGTGGTCATTGTTTGAAAATAGCTGCCTACGTCCTTCGACATTCTCACCCAACATCGGCTGCTCCAGCCATTCGTAAGTGGTCCCCATGTGCTACTCCTCGTGATCTGATCGGTTTTTTGTTCCAGAGGGTGGTCTCGCAGCCAAAACCAAGATGGTTCGCACTGCGTTATTGGTATTCCAAGTTGCTGCAAGTGCTGCAGAGCCAAGCACAAAAGAAGATATTCGCAGCGTTGCATGTATGCTATACGGTGGTACGTTGGTATCGCTGTGATTAGTCAAACATCACATTGATACATGAAATAGAGCTACTCAAGGATGAATCTTCGGAAGACGACCTCGTTGAACCTACACTGCCTGCCTTGAAATCACTACTTTCCGTTCCAATACACGACTCCACTGGCGCACGAACTCGCTTCGAAGAGTCGGTGCATGGGTTCCTGTCTTCTTGCCTGCTTAATGTCGATGAAATGAGGTACGACCATTGCGTGCTACTTCTGTGTTGACTTTTAAATACCCTTGGTTTTCTTAGGGGCAGACAGGGTGTCATATCGTCTCGAAAAGTGAAAAACAATCTACTGGCTGCGGTGCTTATATTAACGACGATGCCCCCTCAAATCAAAATTGCTCGAGGGGTGATAGAGCATTGTTCGTTCTTGATCTCACAGAAGTTGCTTGAGGCCACAGAGGTGATACTTTTGCCAAACGGATGTTATTTTTAGATTGACATATAACTATCAGATGGCTTTGGTCGCAGCGCATTGCTCAAAGACTGTAACCATCGCAGCATCTGCAAATATTCCACTGCGTTTCTGTATCAAATTGCTCCTACCTTCCCTCGTCGAATACATAGCGAAGGTTTCCCCGCGGTTGGACGATGGCTCCATGTCTGAACAAGACATCACAGCTATCGACGAAGTCCTGAAAACGTTTGCGGCACTAGTGACTATGACGACGAATGAACAACGTAAGTGGAGGTTATGTTAATGAAAGTACGATCCTTGCTGAAAGCATCTGTCTTTCTTTACAAAATCAAGGCGACCGCGTCTTGAGCATCATCCTTCCCACCATCACCCTTCTGCTCCGTCCAGCACAAGCCACGCTACCGACGGTACATGCTCACAGCGTAGCTCAATTACTAACGTTCGCCACTTCCTCGCCGACCTCGTTCAAGGAAGTGACAGCTCGACTGGAGGCACCCGTGAGAGAGGTCTTGGAGCAATCCGTCAGACGCGCTGTGGCAGGTGCGACAGCTGCGGAGCCTCATAAGCTGAAACCGCAGATTTCGTTGAGGTCCTTTTGATGGTGTAGAGGAGATAGTATCCCTCCATGTGTTGTTATTTTGGCAAAGATTAGTCTTCGTCGTTCTGCCGCTTTACTCGTCAATTGTAGATTGCTCTCATACATATAGGAAATGTACTCCAATACTTCTGACCTATACCACTCGCTTTTTTCGCCTCATACAAGAAATGCTATACACATGCAGAGCAGTGGCCTTAAGCTAACCTACGATCAGTCTCCTGTGAGCAGACTGTTTAGAGGATAGACAGTCGAGCGTGCATCACACGTTTGTGGAACTGCAGTCCTCCATAGACATAGAATACGTCTATCTAGAAGTTCGTCAAGAGAAAGGTATTAAAACAAAATAGTACAGTGAAAGTGAAATTGAATAATGATAACGATACGGGAGCGACCATCCAAAATCTCTCTTCACACACGTTGCGTACAGCAAACGTCTCACCTCAAAACTTTATCCACCCGCTTTTCCCAGGAGTGCGTATCCGCTTCCCTGTGGCCCGTGTAGCTGTGCCAAAGGGCGATTAGAATTATTTCTCATTAATGAGTTTGGAGGGAGAGAGTTGACGCACCTTGCTGTAACATCTATGGCAGAATGGATCACCATCTTTCTCCGTCAGCTTCGTCGAGTCTAGAGATGTATTGCACTCGGTGCATCTCAGGCATCCCTTGTGCCAGGTCTTGCCAACAGCTTTCATCTACACATAATTATGTAATAATGGTAACAAGGTCAAATTATATTCGAAAATGAATGTAAATGGTAAAGAAATAACAATTAATGACAACTTACTTGTTCCGCAAAGTAGACGCTCTTGCCGCATCGCGGACAAATCGGGTTGGTGCCCCCCCATTGCTTACTGGGACTTGGACTGTGAATTGCACCAGACAAGGCCATACCATATCTGGTCCCTGTGGCTGTAGGCTTCAAAGGAGACGTCTTGGGGGTTTGTTCCATCGCTGACGTAGAAGAGCTGGACCGACCGAGAGTGACGGCAGAAATTTGCGAAGGCTCCAGTTTGTCCCCATTGCTGACAGTAGAGACATGCGTCCGCCCAAATTCCGTCTTGGTAGGACTGAAAGGGACGGTACGAGGGAGACCTCCGAGTCCCCGACCACTGTGTGTAGGCGTTCCCTTGAAGGTGGGACTCACGGGGGAGCCTGATGGTTGTACTGCCGACTCGCCGATGTGGGCATTTCCCTCGCCTGGCAGCGATCCGTCGAAGGTTGTGATGGGGGATTTGTTGTATTTGGAGGGAAGTGTGGAGTTTGCGCGAAGGACGGGCGGGGGAGAGCGTGCTGCGGACCGGCCGGAGCCTGTGCTGTAGGAGGGCGCTGGAGAACGGGAGGAGTTGCGTTGGATGGGAGTGGGATGTGCGGGGGGCCTGGACAGGGAGAAGGAGGTCTTGACAGGGGAGATGGGGAGGGGAGATGGGGCTGAGTTGGGAGAGCCTAAATTATCCTCTCGATGGGGGAGGTTGGCTTGACGAAGGTCTCGTGTTCCAAAATTCTTGACATGACAAGATTTGCTATATACATCATGGATCACGTCAGTCGGATTGATTAGTACAGAGAATATACATAGTGTAGATACGCTTACCAGTAAGGCTGCATGATCGAGGCTCAGTTACGAGAGAAAAGCGAGAAGAAAGAGAGAAAACACGAACCTCCTGATCGTGTTCTAGCAAGGTATAGGAGTCGAGTCTCTTGTTACACAACTTACATGCGAGACATGGCTTCGTGGTGGTTAGTTCAGCAGAGCGCAGATGTACGCTGAGTATGTACGCTTACCTTGTGGTATAACTAGAGGAAATGGTGAATTCCAAGCAGTCCCTGTGATAGCGGTAAACTAGCTCACCTTCCTTCCTGGTCCCATGGCCTACATAGAACGACAATTGTGGACACTGTGAATGAATGACGGAGACCACATACCTGTTCTGCGGCATAGACAGCCTTGTTGCACCTAGGGCATATTGGTGTTCCGCCAAAGGGATGCATGAGGGAGTAAGTACAAATTTACACGGTTATAAATCTGAAAACGGGGTTATTGGCACGGTAAAGCAAGTGCTGGTGCAGACGGGGCTTACCTTTGTATGCAATACGGTCTTGAATGAATATGGTGCTATGTTATGACTGAGTAAGTTATGTCTGTGGCGCGTCGAGGGAAGGCTCCCACGGTCGGAGATTGAAAGCGATTGCAAGATTGCAGGATTTTTTTCGCTTGTTAGATCTGCGAACCATCTCTTTCTTATCCTCCTCCATCCTTTTTCCCTAGACTTTCTGCTTTTCCTTTATTATCTTGTCCATCATGTCCGACGATGAATCCCACCACCAGACCTTTGAGCAGGTAACTCTCTCGACACCAGTCTACAAACATTAGTATTCATCTGATCATTATTTCTAGGCAAGTGCGGGCGCGTCCCTCACTTTCCCCATGCAATGCTCTGCTCTCCGTAAAAACGGACATGTCGTTATAAAAAGTCTGTCATTTATGCTATACATTTACTCTATGTTTTAAACATACTTATGTATGATCTCAGGCCGTCCTTGCAAGATCGTCGAAATGTCTACTTCGAAGACCGGCAAGCATGGTCACGCAAAAGTCCATCTTGTTGCTATCGATGTGCGTTACCGTTATCTTTCATCCTGACCCTCCTCATGACTCCATCAATCCAGATCTTCACTGGTAAAAAAATGGTACAAGTCCTGCGCTCTCTTGGTGTTCTTCTCGCTCACGTGCATGGTCCTGTAGGAAGATATCTGTCCCTCTACCCACAACATGGACGTCCCCAACGTGTCGCGTAATGAATACCAGCTCGTGAGTTCCTCATGTTGATTTCGAGTATGGGCGCTTGCTTACGTTAACGAAGGTGAACGTCGATGAGGGCTTCCTCAATCTGATGTCCCAGGATGGGAACCCGAAGGATGATGTCAAGGTCCCGGAGGGTGACCTTGGTAAGCAAATCGAGACTGATTTCGAGGATGGAAAGGATCTCTTGGTTACTATTATTTCTGCCATGGGAGAAGAACAGGTACCTATCCTCCTGTGTCGACTTAGCTGAAATAATACTCACAATCATGCAGGCCATTTCCGTCAAGGAAGCCCCCAAGGGTTCTTAAACAGGAAACAACATATTTTCTATGTCCATGTACGGTTGTCGTACTACCTTCATGTCCCCTCGACACACTCATTCATTCTTGTCTCGCAGATCTTCTTTCGGCCTTGTTCTGTTGTAATATCTCTCCATCGTCTCCCTAACCCTTTTTCTCAAACCTCCTGTCCATGCATGTACTCGTTCAAGGCTCAAGGTAGCCTTGTTCATGTCCTGAATGTACACCCTTGACGAAGACGTTGAAATTTGCATAACTTGTCAGAATAATGTATGTATTGATGGTTTTGGACGATAGAGTGAAGTCATCCTGTTGTGTTACACCGTATACCGTATTTGCATTCTGATGTCCTTTGTCTTTCACCGCTCTTGTTGAGTATCTACCCAATGTTTGAATGGAGTCTGTCTTAATAGGTTTTCTTTTTCATTGGTTGGTCTATGTGGACCATGGTTAGGGTCTCATAATATACCGCGTTTACCATGAGCTCGGCAAGTTTAAGCTTGTCCTTTAACTACCACAAAGGCATGCATTTTGCACTATCGCCATAGCCCAATACCATATTCACATTGCAGAATTTGCCAGTGGAAAGTATGTAACCTCTGATTTCTTTCAGTATGCACTGCGCACCTAGGCTTGGTGTGACATGTCACTTATTGACGGTTACAGACATGCCATCGACACAAGAGCTTGTCCGTTCTCTGGACGACTTTTCCGACGTTGTTTCCTGGATTAACAATACGCTTACCACCACTGAAGAGTCCCAACCTGACAGCAAAGCCGCGTTTGGTTTGACTGAGCTGGACCAGCATGTCACATCTCTCCTTGCCGCCTTTGAAATTGCTGCTCAGGATGCATCCACTCAGATTGAGCATATCATCGACGACGTCTCTCGGGGTGCACCTCGTTTGACATATGATCTTCACTTCATGCGAGACAACGCGCTTTCACTCCAAGGCGACCTGACAAAAGTACAGTCCAAATCCAAAAACTCGATTCCCGAAGCTACCGCGTCTGCCCTTGATCGTTTGCAGCATCTGGACACCATAAAGACGAGGATGGAAGCTGCCCGGGAAGTTCTGCGAGAGGCGGAAAGCTGGAGCACGCTAGAATCTGAAGTGACGTCTCTTCTTACAGAGACAAACTACGAAAAGGCGGCGGAGAGGCTCAACGAGGCTAATAGGAGCATGGTCGTCTTCCAGAACACCTCCGAATACGAGTCTCGCCAGACTCTGATGATTAGCCTACAGAACCAACTCGAGGCATCCCTCAGCTCTGCATTGGTCGCGGCGATCAACTCGCAGGATTTGGTCATCTGCCGCAGCTTCTTCTCCATCTTCTCCAATATTCAGCGTGAGTCCGAGTTCAGGAATTACTACAATGGTTCGCGTAGAACGCCTCTCGTATCGATGTGGCAGAGTGCAGAACTGGCTGACTGTGACTCAAGGTTATCTTCCCAGTCTGGGCAGACGTTTAATGCATTCTTGCCATCGTTTTTCGCGAGCTTTCTTTCTGTGCTTGACGCTGAACGCACTTCGATACCGTCCATCTTCCCCGATCCTCCTACCACCTTATCTACTCTTATAACATCTACCTTATCCGCCCTTCAGCCTACATTCTCACAACGTCTGGCTTCCTTGTTCAGCCAGTATCGTGCCTCTGCCCTCAAAGAAATTATTCTCTTATACAAAGCTACTGAAGAATTCGGAGCGAGTGCTCAAAAGATTATGGAGAAAATCCAACTTTCCAATGTCGTATCTTCGCCATTGTCCATGGAGAGTGGCAGCGGTCCGGACAGTCTTGCACCCTCAAAGTCACATTCTAGACGACGATCTATGCGCATGTCGATGTCGTTCCGGTCCAATCCCCGTCTTACATCAGGAAGTAGCTCGATTTCGCTCAAACAACAACAAGCAGCTCTTGTCGATGTCTTTGACTGGGATCAGGTGCTATTTCAACCTTTCCTCGACCTTCAGGTTGACTATGCATCTCTCGAGCGGCGTTTGCTAGACGAAGAATATAGCCAGATTGCACTGGATGACACCAAGGCGACGCTCAGTGATAGGGCGAGATTGCTGAGGGAGAGATCGGTGGATGCCTTCAGTACTGCGGAAGCCAGTCTCACTCGTTGCATGACATTTACCCATGGATATGGGGTCGTGGGACTCGTACAAGCTTTAGATCATTTCTTCAAGGCTTTCGTCGATAGCTGGACCTTGGATGTAAGAAACGATCGGTCTGCACTGTCCTCCTCCACCTCCACTATAGCATCATCATCATCCGACGAAGACCTTTCCGACCTCGACTATACTGCACAAGATTGGTCAGATATTCAAGTATCCCTCCATCTTCTCACATCTGCACGCGCTGTCCTCGAACGATTGACGGTGTTTGAGGGAAAGCTGAAATCAAGTCTAATTCAAGTAGCAACCGCCTTTCGTTTGGCAAGAGAAAGTGATAGTGGGCTTTATATTCCCGGGACAACGCACGGAGAAGGACTGCTGCTAGCTCAGTCCACCCTAAACTCCGCAGAATTACAGGAGCTTTTAAAGGTTGTTGAAGCAGACGGCACCACTCGTAACGCACCTTCTGTAAATTCCAGTCCATTGCTTGTGGATAGCCGCGCTGCAATAGCCTCTTTCGCCAAGGTCTGTCAAAGCTCGTTGCAAGAAACTATCCTTTCTCCGCTACGCAAACATCTCGCACTTTATGCCTCTTCTCCTCTATGGTCTGCTGCTGGCGATCCCAAGTTGAAGCGGGTGGGCACAGGAGGCGTCAATGATCTCCAAGTCCCCGTGTTTTCATTGTCTCCCAGCGACGTCGTGCAACGTGTTGCCGAGGGCTTGCTCAATCTACCAAGACTATTTGAAGTGTATGCGGAAGACGATGCACTTGCTTTCTCTCTCTCGACACTTCCTTACATCGATGCCGAGTTTTTGAAAATGCTCTCTGAGCAGCAGTCACCCAGTGCTGAGTCGATGAATCAGGGGCATATTCGCCGTGGCTCGCTTTCGATGCCCATAAAGCCGTCGCCGTTGAGTGCTGAGGCTGTTTCGTCCGCGTGGCTATCTTCTCTAGGCCACTCAATTCTTTCACATCTTACAACGAATGTGCTCCCAAGAATACGTACGTTGACGGTTGCTGGAGCAGCCCAATTGGCGTCAGACCTAGGATATCTCTCCAATATTGTCCACGCACTCAATGTTGAGTTTGAAGAGCTCGAACGCTGGAAGGAGTATGTGAATATGGGCGATGAGGAAGGGAGAGCGGTAGCTTCGGAAAGGCTTCCTGGAGATCAGATTCTATCGCAGGTCGCAAAGATTAGGGGATGGACTACATCGTAAAGGGTCTACGTTCTTAAGTTACTAATAGCTTCACATCGATGAATGTACTTCCAAGAAATAATTAGATTGCTGATTGCCTTGGAGAGAATAATTACAGTAAAGGAAAAACCCCAGAACAAATATGCACTAGATGAAAGATATTTTACAGGCATGCAATTACTACCGAGCGTATGGATGGAAACTATGCTGACCACGGTTCGACATTCGAGCTGGCCCCGGGCCAGTGTTCATCGCCATTCTGGCGAAATTTGGGTTTATGGCACCACCCCCCATACCCCCCATACCCCCCATACCCTGCCTCATTCGCATACCCATATTGTTCATACCCATAGCAGCACCTCCACCTGCACCCATTGCTCCAGGAACCATTCCCATAGCTCCCATCGGTCCTCCCATACCCATTCGCATGCCTCCCATAGGGTTCATCATACCCATTGGGTTCATGGCACCCATCATGTTCATGCCTCCCATGCCATTCATCTGATTGAAGTTGTTCATCCCCATCCCCATCCCCATTCCCATGGGGTTCATCATACCCATGTTGGGCATACCACCTCCGCCCATCATCGGCATCTGCCCCATCATACGTTGATAGAGCATGTTGGTCCCTGGATTAGATTGTTGCTGTTGTTGCTGTTGCTGGGGAACAAAGGGCATGTTGGGCGTCGTTGGCGTCCTTGATTCTCTGTCGTTGAAATAGGGTTCCCGGCCAGTATTAGCACTTCGTGCTTGATCTCTTTGGCTCCGAGGTTGAGCCATTTTGACCTCGATCTAGTAAATTATGGTAAATAAAGTGTGCATGAGCGCATTATCATGACCGATCAGTTACCTGCTTGTCGTCGAGCATCAGTCCAAGTTTGCCGACGAACTGATCAGCGTTGTTCGAGTCTTCAAATGTCACGAAACCAAAACCCTTGGAACGACCGGACTCGCGGTCTATCATGACGGTGGCATCGACCACCTTCCCAAATGCAGAAAAGAATTCTCGCATAGACTCAGCATTGGTGGTAGGTGCAAGTCCACCGACAAAGTATCGAGTGTTTCTCAGATGCTCTTCCCTCGGTATAGCACGTTTCGGATCAATCTGCGGACAGGTAAGATAGGAATAGGGTCCTTGATAGGGGAGACTTACGGCTTTTCCATCCAAGTAATGCTCCCGTATCATCACAGCATTTACAGACTCTGGATCGTCGAAGGTGAGGAAGGCAAATCCTCGAGACCTACCATCCGGATCGCGCATGATTGTACAAGCATCCACCTTTGCACCTCAACGTTTTAACACGCGTAACAAAAAGGGACTGTGATGGCTTGATAATCACCTTGCCAAACTCTGAGAAATATTTTCTCAAGCCTTCTGCTCAGTGCGAGGTCACCGAAAGACAGAGATGAGTTAGCGAAAAAGGTCATTGGATTTTATATGTAAGGTATACCATCTGTAGTGTCCCAATTAAGGCCTCCAACGAACATTTTGCTATCCAATAGGACCGTAGGATAAGAACCAGTAGCAAATGTAGGCATGAGATGAAAATGGCGACGAGGCGAGGGTAGTCCAGAAATTCGACGTAAAACATTAGTTTCCAAAGTTAAGAGAGATACGAGGTCAAGCGAGTAAGAGGTAATAGCGAGCAAGTAGAGTGACTGTAGGCTGGTAGCAGGGTGCAGCATAGTACCGTAACTGATCTACTGCTCAAAGCCACTTTATGTGCGGTATAAACTAGAACAGTAAGTGACACGACACAGCAGGACATCCTTCTCCCCACACAACGGACAATAATAACGACGACCCAGACGCCACACTAGGGATCATACGAAGAAACCGAAGAACTCACCCTTCGTCCTTCATCTCTGACGGCCGGATCGGTCTGTCAGCGTTTCCAGCAGAGTTTGAGCCCTCGTGCGTGGCTATAGCAGAAGGGCCAGCGTTCGAGTTTGCATTGTGTAGATCTGACCGTTGCTGTCGTTCCTGGCTTGGTGTCTGTTGATAAGCTGAAAACTGTCGAGCGACTTGCGCCGAGTAAGATAATGCTGCAGCATCTGAGGTTTGGGGTTTAGCAGGCAACGAGGCTGCACCTGTTGCGTCTTGCTTGGACGAGCCATTCGCTTCTGTAGCTGACTCTGGGACTGTTTCTGATTCATCGTCCAAGGAATCTAGCTTTTCCAATGCTTGGAATTCATCGTCCAGACGGACAATAAACTCGTTGTCGTCGTCACCATACAGGTCTGGTGGAATGAGCTGGAATACGTGGTTATTGAATTCGCATTCTCACCTCCATATAGGTCAGAATCACTATTCTCTTTCGCGGTCGACATCGTGAGTATGGTAAGAAGACAAGACCGCTGCCAATGCTGTTAGTTTTCGTGCTGCAGCCAAGAGCGCTACAGACAAGGTTCAAATTCAATATAGATGGCGGTGCCCAGCGGAGAATGCACAAGCAAACAACAACCATTTTGACAGCCAATTTTCTGTTTGCTAAAAGCGCACAAGGTCCCTCACATGGCCTCACATTTTGTACAGGCATGCATGAACATGGTATTCGATTTGTGTTTGCACATAAGAGAGCATGCAATGACATAAATATGGAATGTAACCAGTGGCGGAGTGTGGAAGAAAAAAATACTACAAACTACAACATACTGTGGTACGGCGCAAACGCCTGAGAGATCCTCTAGAGCAACAACAAGACCTGGAAAAATCAACAACTAATGTACACCGTTTACCAGAACGCTGACTCTGCCATCTTTGAGGCGCTGCGCAGTGCGTTCAGCTGCAGCATCATACACGTAGTGCACATGGTGGTTCCAAGGGGCAGCGGACCCGTCTTCCGAGTCTGAATCGACCACTGTATCTCGACGATAAGGTTCCTGTTGGGGTTCGTACGGGAAGCCGCTAGGATCGAATGTATCTGTTTATTGAAACAAATAGCTTATTCAGTAAACATATATGCAGCGTACGTAAGTAACCGTACCTTCAAGTTGCTCAATAACCTTGCGCTTTCCAAGTGCCTTCGCACTTGGCCTTATAGGTGTCTTTACGTCATCTTCCTCTTCCTCTTCCAGTGGGTAGTACTCGTCGTGGATTTGCAGCCGCTCCAAACCAATAACGTAGTCGCCCTTGTCGCTGTCTGAGGAGTTCTTCCTCGAAGGACGAGAGGACACACGCTCTGGGGAAGGTGTGCGCGATTGCACAGACGCCTGGGCTGGAGAACGAGGTCCATGTGGCGCAGGAGGCGGAGGGGCCAACAGCTGCGTAGGAGTACCAAGTTGAGGGATAGGTGGAGAGTTAGCGTAGCCGTGAGATGGCACCGTAGACAACTTGGGAGAGAGATTAGGTGGTAGACGTGGCAATGGATGGCCCTGAGAAGGATAAATCGAAGGTAAGTCGAAGCGTTCAGGCGAGGCTGGGGGGGATGGCGGCGATGGTGACGGGGTTCGAGACGAGCCTCCGTACGACGAATGAGACTGCTGTTGGATGAGATAATCTCCGTTAAGTAACTGGTGTTGTTGCTGAATGAAGTAATTAAGTATTCATATCCTCTATTCAGCATAGTAAAAAATTAGACTAACCCTTCTATCAAGTCTGACTTCTCTTCTACTTCTCTCTTCGGCTACCCTTTCGAAAGCAATTCTTTCTAGGTCATCGTAAACTCTTAACGCTTCAAGTAGAGATTCATTTGCCGCCAATAAAGCTGCCAGAAGATCCTCTTCAACAGTCGACTCCACCGGCGAGTCATCAGAATTGGGGGATGGCAAAGCTCCCAGCGCAGGTGGCGTACGCGTTCGACCGTGAGTAAGTTGACTCCTCTCTGCACGAGACCGTTCTGCTCCTGCACTTGCCCAGGGAACTTGTGCATGAATAAGTTCTTGTGAAGCCCGACATTTTACATAAAATTCCTGAAAATCGAGATATTGGTTACTACAGTTACGATCTTCGATAGGATTGAGTACTTGGACACTTACACGGATGAGGTCTTTTTCAAGATCTTCAGGCCTCGCAAACGCGAGAGCTTCGGAAAGTAGGTTGGCATTACCCTGGCCAATTTTGCATTCCTGGAACAACCGCCGTATATCTTCCTCCAGCGGTATAATCTTGTGCTTCAAACGGGGTGATCTACGCCTTTGTGGCATTGTCTATTAAAACGCGTTAGTTCTGTCGTTACATGTGGCTGATATGTACATACAAGCGATCGCTCTAGAATGGGAGGTGAGACAACAACATCTTGCGGGTATACCGGAGCTTCAATCGAATATTGAGAAGAAGGTCGCATTATGGGTGGACTGAACATCGCGTCTTCGGTATCGAATGGAATGCCCTCATCTGGTTTATCAGCGGGTTTAAGCCTGCGCCATAAATGTCGAAATCCATCCTTGTCACGATCTTTTCCTCCTGTTCAAGAGATCAGCACACTGGAAATGAGATAGAACAAGAGATCATACTGGAGGAACTTATGAAGGCAGCTGCAGCAAGTACTTCCATGAGGCGCTCTCGCACGACAGGCGCGGTTCGCGAGGACGACAGAACGTCTTCAAGGGTATCTACAAATTTTCGAGATGATATTTGATACAGAAACATGTCCGATGCATTTCGAAGCATGATAGCCCATAGCTGTATCACCATCAGCATCGCATCACATCGAGTGCAAGGTTATGGGGACTCACTCGGGCAGCAGAGAGCTGAGCAGATGGTTCTGCATATCTAGATAAAAAAAGGTCATACGAGGCACTCTTCGCTTCATTTATAATTAAACATACTTGAATTCTCTCCGAAGTGCTTTTACAGCTTCTCTGGCATTGGATTCGTTAGCCGATGCTCTATCGCATACTTCGAGTACAAGAGACCAGTCTTCGGACGATGTGGCAGTGAGATAACCTTAGTGAAAAAGCATTAGTCCTTACCGCACAAGCGAGCGATATCGGCTTAGATCGCCACACGCACCTATCATTCTGGTGAGTTCTGCAGGGCTGCCTTCGTCTTCACGGATGCGATCTTTCTCGCGGTCTCTATCCTTCTCCTTCTCTCTCTCCTTTTCCCTTTCCTTCTCTCTGTCCCACAGCACACCACGATCCCAGAAACCCTTTTTCTCCTTCTTCTCCTTTTCCATTTTCATCGGGACGTCGAGATGGTGGCTGTCCTCTGACTGGTCTGGTGGGTGGAGCATTGTCTCAGGGTGGGGTTCAAGCGCTCTGAGTATGCCCAGTGCAGCGACACCTGTAGGAGCCGGAGGAGATTTTTTGCGAGCTGTTTCTCGCTCTGGTCGTTGGGTGCGACCGCCATAGGTTGAAGTATTGTTTGATGCAATGCTGAATGGCGAAGAAGAGCGGGGTGCGATGGGGCCAGAGGCAGGCATCGGGGGAGACGCACCTGGGGGAAGGGAGGCAAGAGAGGAGGAGCGAGAGGGCATGAGAAGCGGTGGAGGTTGTGGCTGCTGGTGGGGATACGAAGTGGGCACGTGCTGGGGATTGGATGGGTCGTCGTAGGTTGCGACTACTTCCCAGTGATCGTCTGTAGATGAACGAGTAAACGGTCGGGGTGCGTCGCGAGCACGAGCTGGATGGGGCTGATGCACCGCTGTTGGCTGATGATGGCCATATTGCGAAGATGTCTCCTGCATGTCAACAACAACACAAGCTGATTTCATACGGACAGCCCACAGGCAAACCGAAAAGACGCACGTCTATGCCCGCTACAAGATCTCTGTTACTACTGACGGGAGTGACCTTGGTCGGCTTTGGTTTGTCTCGCCCAAAGAACTTCTTCATGTTGGCAATGACACCTGCTGATATGCCTGTAGGGAATATGCTGCAGTATGCAACGGACGCTGGACCAAGAAAGCAGAAAAGATGCAGGTCAGAGTGCGTATTCGAGGCTGTGTTCAAGGGATACTTTCTGCCACAGCCAGCGCCACGTGCCTATCAAGGAACACCAAAAACAGCCATTAGCGCCAGCCGCGGCAGCATGTAATAAAATAAAATAAAAACATGGCAGACTCTCATTTCACTCATACATTCATCTACAGCAAGCATTGCACCATGTCTTCATGGGCGGTAAGATAAGTACATGAATGTGTTTCACACACAACAAACCAGGCTGTACTACGCTCATTGCCGCCGTCTCTGCGCTCAAGCACTGCAATCCACAGGGTCATTTCTGTCTCTAGCGTTTGAGCACGTCTCCTCCCAAGACTGGAACCCTCCCCTTGGCTTCTTTTTCTCCGAATATCACTGCCGTCGCTGCCTCGAGAGCTGCAGGCGTGTACTCAAATGTCGCAAGGTATGCCATTTTGATATCCTCATCCTTCATGAGATCGTATGGCGCGCAGGTTGCCAACAGGACAGCTGGGACAAAGGGCAATACATTTTCGCGAAGCTTACGAAGATAGTCAAGCTGCCACCGAGAACGGTCAGCGTTGCGCGTCGCGAAGATGACAGCTGAGATTCCGGGAAGTACGGTGGCAACTTCCGGAGGTAGTTCACCCGAAGACGCTGCAAGTGAGGAATAGACAATATGCTGGGAAGATTTTCTGCGAGCGATGGACTGGGCAAATGCAAGGAAATGGGGTCCTGCGGTATTCCTCACTTGGCCGGTGCTGTTGCGCAGCACTCCCTCCGCATCATCCACCGCTTTATTCAGACTTTCCATCTCTGGGGTAAATAGCAGGATATCGCCGTCAAGCCCCAGGATTTGGGGGACGGGGCCGCGGATGAGCGCGACGGATGCCGAATAGGAACTCGAGCTAAGTTCCGCATTCTCGATCGTTAAGGCCGCTAGTGTTTGTTCATCGAATTCTTGGTTTAACACGTGGTCCCAAGTCCCAGCAAACTCGCTCTTCAACGCCGAAATCCTATCTTCACTAACTTTCAATGAGTCGAGTGAAAGAGTGCCATTCGCCACGGCTTGGTACGCCTCTTCAACCGCTCCTCGCTGACGTTCCATAGTGTGACAGATCATTACGACATCCGCACCTGCCTGCAGGCTCATCACCGCTCCTTTCTGCGACCCATATTTCTCTGCCACAGCGTCCATTTCCAGGCAATCTGTTACGATAACACCCGTGTAGCCCATTTCATCTCTCAACAAATCCGTCGTTATTGCTTTTGACAATGAACAAGGAGTGTCGTCACCAGTCACTAGAGGCAGTGCCATATGACCTGTCATCACAGTGGCTATGTTATCTGCTACCAGTGCGCGGAAAGGCGCTAACTCCGTCTTCAGGATGTCAGCCTTGGACTTCTTTATGACGGGAAGCGCCAAATGGGAATCAACGTGAGTGTCACCGTGGCCAGGAAAGTGCTTAGCAGACGGTGCGACTCCCGCGGATGTCAAACCGCGACTAACAGCCTTCGCATATTGTCCAACCTCTTCCGGATCTGATTGGAGCTAAATATCAATTTTTTTTTTACCATGATGAACAAAAGAAATCTCGCACCATCGCCGAATGATCGGACTCCTGTAGATTTTGCGCATTAACTTTTAAACGGTAGCTGTTTATGTTCTCTGCTCAGGGCTTACCTATGACGGGATTACGAGGGTCAGAATTGACATCTGCGACCGGACTATATGCCCAGTTTATCCCTGCCAAATGCATTTCTCGACCCGAAGCAGCGGAACATTTCTCAGCAATAGATGGGGAGCCCGTCGCGGCGAGGGCCATAGCTCCAGGACTATCAAGGCCAGAGACAATCAGGATGATCGGGCTAAACGATGCAAGGCCGAAGTGACTTACAATTGGGTACCGGCAACATATTTTGCGGTGGAGCTGAAAGCGGATACGAGACCTATAAATGACAGTCAAATTGCGATCAATTACCCAGCATATGCAAGTCAAACCGTTTTCCTGGTCAATTCCAATCATCAGTGGAGTTGACTGACCCGAGTCTTTTGCGAGTTGCTGGAGCTGCTGGACTAGCCCGTGTACTTGTTTGACGCCTAATGGAGCATATATTTTGATGAACAAAATCCTGGGATTAGCGGCTGTATCGTGATGTCACCTTCAAAAAACAGAACTTACTTTGCACATTTCGTTTCATTAATATGATGTTTCTATGGTGTCACCCGGTCATTTGAGTAACATTGTATATGAGTTCGGCCCACTCACCCTACATGATAATCGCGTATCAGGATTTTGACATCCTCGCTCAGTTCATGCCCATGAAACCCAAAGACAAAGTGCTAGAGGTCCTTTGAGTGCCATTCGCATTCAATGTAATGATATTTACCTGGCCGATTCTACGCTTTATCTCTTCTGTTAGCTCTGGCATTTCTTGAAAGTAACAATAATGCGGATGGGATTCGATGTCAGAGTCAGACCCCTGTAAGTTATGACTTCAGGTGATGCGCGGAGTTGTGAACTGATTCCGGGCCGAGTGAGCCGGGTGGCACGGCTTTACGCTTGAAATGATTCAGCTTGTTCTTTATCGCGAGGACCCGGCCGGTGAGTCTTCTAGTTACCAGCAAGTAAGTTAGTTCAAGTTGATCTGTTTCGCTTCACATTTGGTACTGATTTATTTTTATCATCAATCTTTAGCACATGCCATGGATAAGGCTACGAGTCGAGGAGAACCAGAAGTGAGCATCGAACAGCTTTATTAACCAAAGTTTCGAGTCATGGTCGCTCATTCTACGAGTTAGGAACAACGCAGAGTAAAAAGGCCACGTCTTAATGGCCCAGATGGGTTTGAAAAAGCAGCGAAGCCGCCGTCCAAGCCCTCAGGACGTGCCAAAGCGTTTATATCTGCATTTGAGACGAACGCTCTGCCCAAGGCAGCAGCAGCAGCTCGACGGCCAGTACCTCCTTCCACAAGTACTTTTGAAGATGTAGTGCCTGGTGATGTGACATCAAAAAACCCGGGAAACCATCAAAAGCTTGGTCGACACCCCAAACCGCCGGTTTCGTTTCATCGCCCGAACCAAATCAAGAGTACTTTTGCAGACTTAGATGCGCCTACTAGTGGTGCGACGTCTTCGGCGTCAAAAGACATAGAGAAACATCGCCAACCTAGTTTGCGCTCCAAGCCGAAATTCCTACTTCATCCTCCTCGCGTGCAACCGCCTCTTCGTAATAATGGTGAAAAGCAGGGTACGGGTAGTTCGATTCTCGCTCTTGTTCCACAAGTGGCCAAATTTGGAGCAGCAGGTAGTGTAGAGGGATCCCAATCAAAACCACGTCCTGTAGTCGCTGTTGCAGATGAAGCTGAGAGTTCAAGACGGAAGACGACGATATCAATATTTCAGCCAAACTTCAATCTACCCCCTCCAACCACGAAAGAAAAACACCCCCTTAAACCGCCTTCTATGCCTAACATACCCACCGACAAGCCTGTCATCCCACTCAAAGCTCTCGTTGCCCCTGAAAGGCCTGTGGCTCCAGCGTCACCACAGAAAAACATGAAGACTATACTCACAACCAAGGTCGCCCAAGTGACTGATCCGACCAAGGAAGGTGGAAATGCGGAGCTTCTGTCTATTTTCCTTCAGCAACATGGCCATACCTATACATCATCTGTTGACCGTGAGTTGCTGAGAGGCGTTGGCATTAGCCCAAGCAAAAAGTCCCGTGCGAAGGGTTCGAAATTTGTCGAGTCAGTCCTTTTTCAAACTCTACGGTGTAATATTTATTTATCGTGTACGCGACAGGGGCGGCTTGGCTCAGCAAGCGGATTACATATTTTCATTATCTAAAACTAGCCAAACTCTTTGGAAGCGGAAGAAAGAACAGGAGAATGAGTTGAATAAGAGAGTTGTCTCTGATTTTCGCCTGTCGATCATGAAGCTTCTTCACCAGGGGCATACACCAGGTCGACCAGGCGTTCTTCCACTGCTTGCATTGTGCCGCTTGACTTGTCGAAAGAACACTACCAACGACTTGGTGGATACGACGTACATCGTTTCGTTCTCCACTCTCGGGAACGACCACGCTGTCAGAGACTTTGAACCGGGCCGGGAGGTATACATATGGCCACCATGGCATACAATCATACTTTCCTCTTCGATGAAAAGTGACCTATCTTCTGAAATTGAGAGGGATTTTTCCTCTGTAGACTCCCCACGTAGTATGCTGGTTTGTACGAGATATTGGATTACTTCGAAGCAAGGTGATTGATGATGGTCTATGAATCTGTTTCGATATTTGTGTGTGTAATGTCTGTATTTTTGGTTGGATTCGTTGATGTATTTTTTGGTAGCTATTATCTTGTCGATTAGCACGCACCCTGCAGTGTACTTATTCTTATTCTTACCAACGGTGTATTGTATGTGACCGTTTAGTGACATCGTACCATGTTACCATCGTGTCACTTAGTATCGCGGCGTTTTGACATCAAGTTCGATAGCCCCCCTCCCATTTCACAGATACACAGATACTCCAAACTTTCTCAATGCCAAAAAATCAGAACAAGAGGAAGGCTGATAACGAAGAATACAGCGAAGAGGAAGAGGAAGAAATACCTTCTCAACATTCTGCAAGCTCAGACGATCATGCTAACGATGAGTATGCTTCATCTAAATTGTCAGGCAATGCGCGTCCTAAGGAGTCCTTAGGTTGTTTGCTGCTGCTGCGCAGGAGTTCAAAGGTACGACCTATTATATTAAGCATATGTTATTATTCGAGTTAATTTATGCGCACAGCGACCTGGGAGAAGCAGATGAAAGCTAGAGAAACCAAGGCTCTTCAAAGCACCCAAGATGAGCTTAATAAATGCGTTTGTCAAATCTGAAGGATATTTTCTCTCTCCTTACATATCCTCGTTTTAGCTGAAATCAAGGCAACGCGAGGTCGAGGGGATCATAGAGAGCATGTTCGTAAACTGATTATTCCTTGCTATGACGCATATGTCCATATATTCAAAACTCACACTATTTGATAAAAGCGACGCATTATACGACGATTTCCTGTTGAATTACGCGGTGCTGGAAGATAAGAAAAGGAAGATCGTAGATGAGATTGTGCAGAAGCAGCAAACACTCCTTGTCCGGATATTTTCCACTATATCTTCTGCGATAAACTGTGCTGAATGATTTATCTTGTAGACTCTTTCTATTCAAAGACATCAAATTTGTATTGGGCTGGGGCAAGACGTGGAAGAGGGCCAGTTGACTGGGATAGCAAAATATCACCAAGCAGATCGAGGTGAAGCGAGACAGATTATTATGCGCGTTATTCACAAACCATTGGCCTTTAACACCCTCCAGATTATGAGTTTGCTGCTAATTCACTAATGCAGCCTGAGTGTACTAGTTGAAGATCCTGATGGGACTGGAGTCAGATATCGTTGTGTATGCTTTACCCTCATATTCCTGGTTTGTTTTATTGTAACGGTAGGTGTAAAACTGGACCTTGAATTCCTCTCACTTGTAACATCGTGCAACGTTAACCCTAATGTTTTTATATTGACGCGTCGCGTGCTGAACGTAACGAACACGATCACATGATGTGACTGGTTGTGTTTTAGTGTCACATATAGGAGCTCCGTCACAACACGGCTATCATTCAAGTTTCATTTGCTTCTCGTGTTTGACCATCTAGTGCTAATATCTAGGTAAAACATGGGCGTTGCTGGCTTATGGGATGTAAGGTATCTGTCAATCTTGAGATATGCAAAGCTGATATTTCTTCGACGACAGGTGCTTCGTCCTGCCGGAAAGGTTCGATCCTTGACACACCTTGCTGTAACTGAGGGTTTCGAATTAAATCCAGACGGCAAACGCGGATTTCGTATTGGAATCGATGCAAGTATATGGTTCTTTCACGCTGCTTATGGAAAGGAGGGCGAAAACCCAGAACTGCGCACGCTTTTCTTTCGATGCTGCAGGCTAATGACAACACCGTTTCTACCCCTCTTTGTGTTCGATGGACCAAAGAGACCATCTGTTAAACGAGGGAAACGCGTCAGTGGAAATAGTCACTGGCTTACGACGGGAATGAAGAATATCATCGAAGCATTTGGTTTCGAATGGAGAACTGTATGGCTATGTTCATTCCCCTATTTAGCGAGTTAATCATGTATCGATGATAGGCACCTGGAGAAGCCGAGGCTGAGCTTGCATATTTGAATCGCATTGGGGTCATTGACGCGGTTCTTTCTGACGATGTGGACAACTTTTTGTTTGGTGCCATGATGGTCATTCGCAAGTAAGATACAATCCTTCATGCTCACATATTCCTTCATTTCGGTGTCATTTTACAGCCCAAGTAATACACTTTCTGGAAATCGTGCCAATCCTGTAAAGAATTCTGATGGCAGAGATGACGGCAACCACGTAGTAGTATACAAAGCTGCGGACTTGACTTCGCATCCAGATATCGAGCTCACTCGTGGTGGAGTGATCCTAATTGGACTTCTTAGTGGCGGAGATTACCATCAAGCAGGAGTGACGGGATGTGGAAGACTCATTGCAGCAGGACTCGCTCGCTGTGGGTTTGGCGATACCTTACTCAAAGCATCGCAGGAACTGTCGCGAGACGAGCTTCCTGGCTTCCTTTCTACATGGAGAGATGATATAAGGCAAGAACTGCGCACTAATTCGAAAGGTCTTATTGGCTCCAAGAAGCCTGCGCTGGCCAAAAAATTACCCGAAGACTTTCCTGATATTGACATCTTACTGTCTTACACCAACCCTATCACTTCTGAAACAGAAGGAAAACCTGGGAGAAACCAGAATATGGTCGACTGGGATCGTGAGCCGGACCTTGGGAAAGTGGCAGGCCTTTGCGAGCTCTATTTCGAGTGGGGAGTCAAGGATATAATCATCAAACGATTTAGAACTGTGCTATGGCCGTCAGTTGTGCTACGTATTCTGCGACGCGCGGCTATAGATCTTGATAAGAAGAAGCAGAAGAGTGTGACTGTGCCGACAACGCCAGAAATGAAGAAGAAAAACGGTATACAACGTGTCACCACAGTTGGCACACCATCGAAGATGATAACTAAATACTTTGCTTCACTGAAGCTTGATACACCAAAGTCAGTAGACGCATCTGATAGCGACGACGACGACGAAGACGAAAATCCTCTCATTGTCAAAATTCACTCCTCACGAGCACATGCCTCAACGGATGGGATCCTCGAGTATCGCCTCGAAGTTGCTCCTGCACAGCTTGTTCGCCTGAGCGAAGCTGGAGTCAAAGGTATACGGCCCCCTATCGAAGCCGATGACGTTTACGAGGACAGTGAAAGCGATGGCGATGAAGACGACGACGACGACGACTCTAGCAAACGCAAGGCTAAGACTAAGAAACCTCCTCCTTTCCCAGACAGTCATATAAGAATATGGATGCCTGCTTGTATGGTGAGGATGGTGGAGCCTCATCTAACGAAGGCGTTTGATGAGATTCAAGAGCGAAAGCTGGCTAAAAAGCTAGGCAAAAGCAGTGCGGCCCCAAGGAAAAAAGCAGGTGGTAAGAAGAAGAATGACGCTCCCGTCCTTGAAGAAAGCGAGTCGTCTTCATCCAAGGCTCCACCCAAAGTCAAGAAAGTTACGAAAGGCCGGAAGGTAGCTCAGAATAATGAAGAATATGAATGGATAGATCTTGATTGTGGAGAGGACCCTGCGGAAGGAAGGAAGGCAACCGTGAAAGACTTCTATGCGACAACCAAACCTGCTACGAAGACCAAACAGCCCCTTTCAGCATCCAAAGACACAAATAACAATATCAATGCTCCTTCCGCATCCTCATCCTCGTTAATGAAATCTGCTCCCAAGAAACCCCCAAGCAAAACCCAGAGATTAGAATATGATCCACCACCCACGGTTGTGATCAATTCAAGAAAATCAAGACTCAAAGACATACTGTTATCTTCTGAAAGTGAGGACAATCCGAGTGACCACGAGTTGCCTGTGATCCGTCCGCAGCGCCTCGCGCCTCGACCTTTTCCAATGCCTTTCGCTATGGAACCAGGGAGTAAAGCCAGGAGGAAGGGCCTAGAGGATCCGTTTGTGGAGTCCTCGTCCAGTCCATCCAATCCATCCCCTCTCCCCGACAGTCAACCCCAACCCCAACGTCGACGGAAGAAATCTCTGAGCCCCACCGAGTCCGAGACTTACTCTTCTCATATAACGAAATCTCCTAAGAAAAGCCCCAAACACGTTTCTCCTCGCAGCCAGTCGATAGGGGGAGAAATCACAGGTGATAACTTTGAGAAATTGACCACCCTCCGCAATGGTTCGCCAAAGCCCACAAAAACACTAGCCATGTCTCTTGACGTGATCGAGATTTCCAGTGACTCTGATTCGTCTCCGCTGAGACCTGCCAAGGTCCTAGCTCCCTTATTAGCTGCTAGGGCAAAAGCACGAACTACTGTCGATACTGCGTCTCAACAGGCCAGTAAGCATGTCCCTTCCAGACCCAAATCATCATCCATACAACCGACTTCGAATTGCAGTATTCCAATATCTGACGCAGATATTATTGATTTAACATGATGTATGCGTTGTGTACTCTGAACTTCTTTTATTACAATACATTTTCACTGCATACAGTAAGATCGTGAAATGAAGTCACGAAACGAAATTCCAGCGATGGATACACAAAGAAAGTGATTACAGAATGCAACGTAAGTCATGAGTCCCATTTCATACACGTTGTACTTTTGGATACAATCGTGCGTATCAATAAGATGTCGTAAAATTGCGGAAAGACTCTTGTCCCATGACGCCATCCACCACCTCCGCGACGTCTGGCAGTGGTATCTGCTTCCCAAAGCGTTGAATTGCCTGTAACCTTGATCGCCAGTTGGTGATAACCTCGACTTCGGCAGTGTCCCGTTCGGTTCTCTCAAAAACCGAGGCGAACCAATCAGCCAAAAGGCTCATTTGTCTCACTAAAAACGGCAGGTTTTTTGCGGATATAAGTTTAAAATTTCCGATGGGGGCAAACTCTTTCATTCCAGGGGCACGTTGCACTGTGACCTTGAAAAACTCGTTTTCATGCAGGTTGTTGGAAAAGGCAGCAATTGCGCCGAGGGAATGAGGTTCGACAACTATATTGACAAACTGGAATTGAGTGGCCAGGGTATCAAAACGGTAGGGTCGGCCTGAATCATTCCAGACGATGCGAACATAATCATTGCCAATATGACGCTTTTTGTTGATGCAATACTGATCGTCAGGATGGGTAGGCATCATCGTCGCAGTATGGTACAGGATTTGACCTATATCATCCCACCAGGCATACGCGTATTCTCCATCCTCATCTGGATTCAGGCCCCCTGCATAAACATCGGCCTGACCTCGTAAATTGATGAGTCGCCCAATGCCTTCCAAGAACCGCGTATACGCTGGCGAACCATGTGTGTTACGGAGAATATCGAGCTCGTCGGTTTGACCAGGTGCCACGTACATGATACCCAACTTGTGCGTATCTATGACAGGTATTCGGTCCAGACTACGGAAGAAATTTGGCAACGTTGATGAACCACTAACGACCCGCTGGTTCTGCGAAGACCTGAAAGGATCTGGATAGGGTGAGAGCTGTAGCGCAAAGAAAGACGGGTCCAGGGTGACATGTTTCCGTCGTTGCGATGGCGCACTACCACTCCATACATAGCCTGTTACAGCATCAGGAGGAGAAAGGTCATTATCATAAGGGGGAAGAACAATTGTTTCCGCTGTCTCCTGATAAGATCGTCAGTACGCAATTTTAACACAAAAAAATTGCACTCCTCGCCTTGCTGGTTTGGTTTTCTTGAACCACTCCCAAAGGACTATCTGTAGTAGATGGAGCCTCTGGTCTCGATACATCACGTTCCATCACCAGGCCAGCAGGAATAGATACCGTGTCCGGATCAGCATCACCCGGCCCAACAAGAGGAACGTTCTCGAGTTTACACAAGAATTTTGTGAAGCCCGAAGGGCGACGAGAGAGTACCTCAAACCAACCCAGTCTCGCGAGCGCCCGTATAGTCACGACAGAGTTTCCTACAAGCCATGTCTTTTCACCAAGAACGGCTTCTGATGATGATGCACTAGGGTTCATTATAATATCGCCTAGCACAGAATTCGCGGGTCGGGGGTCGGCGCTCGCGTATGTGTATCTCGCAAGCCAGTCAAAGCATACTTCCGTCGGCTCATCGATATCCGGCCTCCCTTCATTGGCAAGGAGAAGTTGTCGAGTGATGTAGGGGATATGACGAGGTCTATCGGGTTGCTTCACGGCCAGGAACCACACGTAAACCACGTAGAAAGATATCATACGCACATGCTGCGAAAGCGCCCAGGATATAGCAGGTGCAGCACCCGGTCGATTATGATGTTGTAGATATTGAAGTGCAACACCAAATACCATCTTATAGTCTTCTTCTCTGAAATTGGCATGTAATTCTCTAAGAGAACCGACTATGCTGAGGAAGCTGAGAATATGCACGGCCATGTCAGGATTGGACATAATTTGGGAGAGTTTCTCTAATATCATAGGCGTGCATCGTTTCAAAGAAGGAAGAAGTTCGAAGGCCGATAGGGACAAGGCATGAAGACAGCAGATAATCGTAGACGGCTGTCCATTCAGGCCCTCGCGTAAAACGTCCACCAGTGCATGACGAAGGGCGACATCATAACAGCGCCGATAGCTGATGAGGACAGACAATATGTGATAAGCCAGACCGTGAGCATCGCGCGCTTTCAAGCCCGAAGGCCAACGTTCCACGTGAGATGCTAGCTCCCCACCTGCAATACCAGAACACAGCGACTTCAAAAGATCTGATATATGTTCGCGACATATCGGTCCACAGAAAAGGTGTTTGTTCGCAAGCTGTGTCGAAAGGTGACATAGAACATATGACAGTATTTCCCAATCTTTCTCCTTCTCCAAAATGTTTGTTAGTGCCGAAAGATACGAAGAAGTCCGCAGGATGTGAGGCTTATCAGGACCATCTGGATCATAAGATATGAGACCTTCGCTAGGAGTATCTGCATTAATTGTCGTAAATAGCAGACACTCTGGAAGTCGCCAAAGTGCTTCTTTGGGTTTTGAATGAAAAGTGGCCGTAGCGGGTGGCGATATTGGCAAAGGTACCCTGGACCGACTTCTACTAGATGCTGACTGCGAGGGCCTCGCTCCTCTTCCACGGGAGGATCTCCGGCCATCTCTTTCTTGAGGGCCTCGAGCACGGGGTTTGCGAAGGATGAACTCCTCGGTATCATCAGCGAAACCCTTAGTCGGCTCAGGGCGAGATTGTCCTGGATTGGCAGCATCTGGACCACGACCGACAAGAGAAGCGAGTGTGAAGATTTGACCGTCCGAGTCATAGTGTTCCTGCGCAAAATATAGCCTGTGATCCCGATCCGCTCGCAACCGCATTAGAAACTGTAAGACGACAAGGCGTGCCCTGGAACACTTCGATTCAGTAAGAAGTTCCACCAGGATAGTGTATATTTGAATGGCCAGGTCAAGGTTTGCACTAGATAGAGCAAAGGGAGTGAACGCAAGTTGACTGAAAATACTAATTAGTGCTGCAACAGCACTGGTTGCACGAGGCAAAGAAATTTCCACAGGAGGTGAGGTGATGGGCTCCGGAGTATGTTCTTCTTGCTCTATGGGTTGCTGAGATTGAGATCGAGTTGCATTGCCCGTAAGAGATGTTAAGATAGACATCACAGACGGCAAGTTTGAATCTCTATCCTTATTGGTCGCGTGGTAGTCGGACTGCTTCCTCGATAATATAGGAGTGGTGAATACTGAAGGGCCGGTGGAAAAGGATACAAAAGGAGTAGAGTGTGTATCCGCTGTATGTACGGATGCAGTATCTTCGTCATCCTCTTCATAACTTTCTGATGCAACCTTCGACAGAAGTTCAACCATTTCCTGGGGCGTGGAGAATTTCGAAATATCAGAAGACTGCGACTCTTTGCTTGTTTCTTCTACAGTCTGCAGGACGACCTCATCTCCCAAAATACGCCACATAATGTCACAATATTGGTTCGAGTCTTCTAGGGACTCTTCCACTTGTTTCCTGCAGAACTTGAACACCAAATCTGCAAGAGGCACCCGATATTTGGGCATATCCTTTATAGAGTCGTAGACAGACTGTAGTCCTTTTATGATTTCGACTCTTGTCATAGCTCGTGTTTGACCGAATAAGATCCGATTTTCTAATATGCCTCTCCAGTTACTCAGCCATTCAGGAGATGCGGGAGAGAGATCGTGCTGTTCAAACATTACAGCAGGAAGTTTTGCAGTATCACTATCAGTGAGGTGTTCTGCAATCGATAGCAGTGTGGATGACAACAAAGGCATCATGTAAGTGGAGTGATCTCGGGCTAAAAGCGACGACAGCGTGCGAAGGAACGGGCTTGGCGCATCATATGGCTGGGAGAGTGGTATAATGAAAGGAGTCCCGTCTGGGTTCCTTGAAGTAACATCAGTTGCCAGCATATCTTCCACATATATCGAAAAATAAGGTAAAAGCTTACTTGAATGGGCGGATGAAGTTAGCGAGTTGATGAAGTATCCCCCCGGTGACAATGGCCTCTTCTTCATCCATGTCTGCGCTCTCTTCTCTCTCGTCTAATTCCTGGAATATGTCTCTCAAAGTCCCTGCCGCCTCATCCATGATTCTTTCTGTTCCTGGATCGTATACATCATCGACTGCATGGAAGCCCACCCAAGCCTCAACGGCTTTGCAAAGAACGCGTCCGAGCCTAGCATGGTCCCAACCTGAGATCTCGTCCTTGGACCAAGCACTTTCCATGACTTCACGTTCGAGGTCCATATGCCCAGGAGCACCAGACGAGGTGTATGACATCGAGCTCGACCTCGATATGTAGGCTCTAGCTAGCTTGCTGAATAGGCCTCGCCGAATGTTGTTGCGAAGAGTTCTGTGAGCGCCTGTGGAGAGGATGATTGATGATTGCATATCCTCTTCAGCGTCACTCGGAGGAAACAAGTGACGTTTTAGAATAATCATGCAAGTGGTCGAATATGGCCCCATGAACAATGAATTAAGTATCTTTTGGAGCCTTTCCTCAATAGGTGGGAGCCCATGAGGTTTCTGACTGATAGACAAACGAGGTAAGGGCGAAGCAAAGAACGCCTGTGCACGAAAGAGAATAGGCAGAATGAGTGTAAGGGATTTGGGTGTCAGGGTTTTGAGCTGAGAAGACAGGTGATTGAGATATACAGTGACGATGGAATCGGCAGGGTGTTTGGGTGGGGTGGATATAGGAGTTGATTGGATGGATAATGACGAGGGGTGACGCCGGTGATTACCAAATGGAGGTCTTGGGAGGGGGACTCCTGTGCCCAATGGTGGTTCAGCATGGGGGAGTGAAGATGACAATGCCATCGGTTCTGAAGTTACGACCTCCGTTGGGACATCCAGGGCTTGTACGACCAAATCCGCGTAAAACTGCAGCACACTTGCAAGCTCATCATCTGAGACCCGTGCTACTATTTCAGAGGTCTCCAGAATTGTAGCAAGGAAAGAAGTAAGAGTTTCGAAACTCCGTTCTCGCTCTGTTCGCTCAATCTGATCGATGGTACTGGCCGAGGTCAAACCATCACATGCGCCTGATATCCACGTTTTGAGGACGTGAAGAAGAGACAACTCATTTCCTGCGATGTCAGCTCCCGATTTTGTGAGGGCACGTAATGCTTTGAAGCGAGGTTCCCATAATTCCTGAGACCAGGCTGTAGTAGGCTTGAGGAACAGAGTGAAGTATGCAAGCCGATCTGCTGTGGCAAGCTTTGATTCGTGCCTTTCCCAATACGTGGACATAATGTCGTAGCCGGCTATCTGCAAAGGCGAAGGAGAATCGACCGCACATAGTGAGGCCACGACGGGGTTTAAGGTAGCTGGCCTTGGCAATGGGGAATGCTTGACAAGTGCGACAGCCAGCGAGCGCGCATGATTCAAGCTTGGAACTGCTGGCGGGGTTAACGCCTCGATGAGAGCTTCAAAGGATAACGGAATGGGCTGCGTGACTGGAGGCGATGATGATGTTGTCTCGACTCTGTTTCTACGCCAAGGGAAAGAGGCAAACGAGTTTGTGTTAGACCTTTGTCTGAACCTGGGGTGGAAGTCTGCATCCTGTTGAGGAGACATTCAAACGACATTCGAAGTGAAAAGGTCTTTCTGGCATGTATGCGTTATAAGCTTGAGCTCGTCGCACATAAACGTTACTCACCGCGTCAACAGTTGGCCAGGTAAATGCGTATGGGCGTTGAAGTGTGTTTATGCTGGCAATACAAAGATCGTTAATTCGTTGAGCTGATGATGAGTATGGAGGAAATGAAGGCTCTGTACTACAAAGTGTACTACAAAGAATGTATGAAATACATAACCGACCTTTACGTGCTTGCTCATTGGCATTACGCCGCGGCCTGTTCCGAATAGGTCCGTACCGTACCACGACCTGGACCACCGCTCCCTATACAACATTCCTCTGTCTCTCTAGCACCACCACAAAGCAATAATCCAGGTTTTCTCAATGGCGAGGCCCAGGCTCATTTTTATCTTCCAATTTTATATGTTTATCCGTCTCTTTCAAAATAGACTCATGTTCTAGCTCGGGTTGAACGGGCCATGTTACTCTTTCCTGGCATTCATTCTGCAAATCTTCCGTTGGGGACCCAAAAGCCTGGACGCCCCCTCATTTAACGCCTGCGCTACATTTAGAGAGATGCCGTCAAGTAATATGGCACTGGTGATATGTACAGTCACTTCTATCTTTATCGTGACCACAGCTCTGTAACAAGAGCGTCGAATGTAGCCCCAAAAATCTCTGGAGCCATCCGTGGACATGGCTTAAACTGCCTTTCCCCATCGCTTGCAATGCCAATTCTATCGTATGCTAATGCCACACATGTCATTGTTAACATACTCGATGATGTTCCGGATCTTACAGCCTTGAGGATAAGGCGAAATTAACATGAATATGTGATTATAGTGATGACAATATCAATCGAACCGCAGGTGCGGTAGCGATTTCTTCCTCTCTGATGAAGTTCGTTCTCACATAATGGTCTAGTGTTGAGTGTGACCAATGAAGAATCGCTTGTAGCGGGTGCTTTAGTGGGATAAACCGAGGTAACGCTCTCGCTGATTTTACAAGCTCCCAGTTCCTCCAATGAGCATCGACTCTGTCCACATCTCTCGGTTTGAAACGTACATCTCATCACCTGCGGCTGTCAGATCAAGGGCTTAAGTCCGCTTCAGGTCTATACACCTGTGCTGTGTCAAATTTCAGATTTGTTGGTCATTGGCAGGAGGAATGGCTCCCAAATGTTTGATAAACATATCACGCATCACTGTCTGGACCTTCTTGGCAGTCGTTTTGTCCTAGTCCTGATAGTGACACTCCAGGTTCATAAACGACTGTCAAAAATAATATAAGGGCTTTTAAGGTATAGTGAAAACATTAAGAGAAGGCAATATCAGATTTTTTGACCAGTATATAATAGAAAAAGAGGGAAGAGTGAGCTACTGTACAAATAAGCATGTCTTTTATATCTAATCTGACACAATGACACCCCAACAAGGAGCAGGGTCCAATTGATTTAAGCCTTGGCTTACACCCTCCTTATTTATCTCTTTGGGGCACATTGAGATGCAATCTAATTGTCCAAGGCCTGGCAGTCATTGAGATCCTTATGCTTCATCCACTTGTTGTAGTCTGATGGGAAGTTCAACCAGTGAACAAGGCCATTATTTCTCCCTTCCCATGTGGTATTCATCAACAACTTTGGCAATGGAAGCTTCCTCTTGGTTGTCTGCAGAGAGGACAGGGCAAGAGTGAACAAATTAATAGCAGCATGAGTGAATACTTATGAGACATGGAAGGTGGGTTTTAGAGGTTATGAATTAATTTGCAATTTGTAAGTATACTAAGCTCAAAGTTCAATGAGAAGCTCTATATGCTGTCATGCACCAAAGTTGATTAATAACATGGACAGGTGTCAAAAATGAAGTGAATATTCAAAAGACTCACCTTTGCACCACACATGCACAGTACCACATGGAATAGTAATTAATATTGCCTTTTTCAAACTTGTGGCTTATCAGCACCACCTCTATTAGGCAATCAAGTCATGCTCACCTTTGCTTTCCATTTGGTACTTTCGGCATTTTGGCAATTTTTCGTGCCTCCACTGGCTACACATTGCACCTCGCTTTTGTCATTTTCCCCTACCCTTTTTCCTTTACTTAGCCCCACTATGGGCCCTTTACACTCTTTTCTATCCTCACCAGATGGCTGCTTCTGGATCCCCATCTTAATCTACTTTTTGTCACCTCTTTGCTCCTCCCACCTGTCTTCCTTGCCCCTCCATCACACTTGATGTCACCGCTCTCCGTCCACTTCTGTTGCTGATTCATCAACCACCATGTGCCACTGCTAATATAAGCAAAGCCCCAGCAGCCGGTGTCGATGATGAGAACTGTTGTTAGAAAACCACACACAAAACAAACTAACACACAATCCTCCCAGATTCCGCAGAACTTGTTTATGGGCTTTGCCTCCTAGAACAGTGGGTGCTCTGGTTGTTTGTGGGGTGGTATGTATGACAATCCTTCAAAGTAAAACCCAGAGATCTATGGGTGTGGGTTTTGAGGAGGAGGGATAGTTGGAATGTAGAAGATAGGGGCTTTGTGGCAGGTATAGACAAGCACTACCTTGCTAATTGTAGCACAAGGTAGGTTTGAGGATGACAAAGTGATGAGGTGACAAAGTTCCCAGTGATAGCAGGCTCCTGATGCACAGACTGTAGTGCTCAGAAGGACTCTAATTGAGAGGGATGAGAATTACTTTCAAAAAAGTGACGAGTGACGATGACAGCAGTTAACAGTGGTAGCAGCGGGAAGTGTTGTGACTACACTGGATCACAAGTAGCAGAGTAGTGAACTTGAGATTTAGAGAAGAAGTCTGGATTGGATTTCTTTTTCTTGAAAGGTAAAATACAGGGGTTTATATAGTAAAAGAAAGGGAGGCTATACACAGTATAGCTGTGCAAAAAGAATGAGAAAGAACATGAAAGAAGGACTGTATGCTGACAAATCCTGCGTGGGTAGTACAGGATAAGATTGTCAAAATAAGGAAAAGAAAGAGATAGAACAATGAATGCTGTGTAAGTAATGTTACAGGTTTGTACAGCCATAAAGTAAAGTCCAATAGCAGAAAGAGAGCAAGAAAATCATGATGTCATGGGAAGATGCAGTAAAAAAGGGCAAAGCAAAAATAAATAAATATCAGTATCAACACAGTTCCTTTATTGTCAGTCAGGCATTCTAAAAAAATATGTGTCCATAAAAATGATTCAAAAATCAAAAATAATTGCACTGTAAATGAATGTTCTGCTGAAAAAAAGAAACTGGAGCCACCGGTCCACCACCCAGTCCAAATCCGACGGTTCCACAGCCTTACCAATGGACTTGTTGTACTGGACCACCTGGTCAAACGAGGGAGGGAGGGGAGTAGTTCCAATTTGGAACAAGTGAATCCCAGGCAGCGTGTGGTAGCTGTAGCTGTAGCTGTGACGATGGACGAAAGATAAGTGTACCCAAGTGAATGGGACGGCGATGTACATGGGCCACAGAAGGGGATGAATCTTCTCCAGCTCAAAAACTACCCACCCATGCTCCAACCAGGCAAGACGAGCGACCAATGTTTTGATGGTATATGATGGAAGATCAATGTCATGAAGTTGGACCTTTTGCCCAATTTGGACCAGCTGCCGGGGCTTTGCTGATATCAGCAGCGGCACATGGTGGTTGACGGATTGGCTACAGAAACAGATGGAAAGTGGTGACATCAGATATGGGGGGGGAGTTAAGACAGATGAGGAGGAGGATGGAGGTGACAAGGAGGTGTACCAGAATAGGGATCCAGAAGTGACCGTCGGGTGAGAATTAAAAAAGTAAGTAAAGGGACCCATGGTCGGGCTAGGCAAAGGAAGGGGAGTAAGGGAAACAATGAAGGCGAGGGCACAATGCAATGTGTAGCCAGTGGTGACGCAAAAATTTGCCCAAAATGCTGAAATGCGGAAAGTACCAAATGGAAAAAACAAAGGTGAGCGCAACTGGATTGCCTAATAGAGGTGGTGCTGATCAGCCACAAGTTTGAAAAAGGCAATATTAATTACTATACCACATGGCACTGTGCCTGTGTGATGCAAAGGCGAGTCTTTTTGAATATTTGCTTCATTCTTGACGCCTGTCCATGCTACCAATCAACTTTGGTGCATGACACCGGTCCACATTGGGCAACAGGTCCAACTTTATGATGTTGATCTGCTGTCATCCACTGTTAAATCATTGGTCACTCATCTCACCTGGTTAGAGTGTGGGTGGGTAGTTTTTGAGCTGGAGAAGGTTCATCCCCTCGCGTTGCCTATGTACATTGCTGTCCCTTTCACTTGGGTACATTTATCCTTTGTCCATTGTCTTTGCTACAGCTACACCTACCACACGCTGCCTGGGACTCACTTGTTCCAAATTGGAACTACCCCTCTCCCTTCCTCGTTTGACCGGGGGGTCCACTACAACCAGACTATTGGTAAAGCCATGGAACTGTTGGATTTGGACTAGGTGGTGGACCGGTGGCTCCAGTTCCTTTTTTTTTCAGCAGAACATTCATTTTCAGTGCAATTATTTGTGATTTTTGAATCATTTTTATGGACATATATATTTTTAGAATGCCTGACTGACAATAAAGGAACTGTGTTGATACTGATATTTTTTTTGCTTTGCCCTTTTTTAATGCATCTTTACATGAAATCATGATTTTCTTGCTCTCTTTCTGCTACTGGACTTTATTTTATGGCTGTACAAACCTGTGATATTACCTACACAGCATTTGTTGTTCTATCTCTTTTTTCCCCTTATTTTGATGATTTTATCCTGTACTACTTATGCAGGATTTATCAGCGTACATTCCTTCCTTTATGTTCTTTTTCATTTTTTTTGCACAGCTATACTGTGCATAGCCTACCTTCTTTTTACTATATAAACCCCCTGTTTTTTACCTTGTAAGAAAAATAAATCCAATCCAGACTTCTTCTCTAATCCCAAATCCACTTCTTACTGCTGATCACTCTTAATTGTCATAGTATATCATCATGTTTACAATTAATATTGCAGCAGGTCAGGCATTGGTTGTACAACCACAGTGTAGCCACAACACTTCCCACTGCTACCACTGTTAACTGCTGTCATTGTCACTTGTCACTTCTAAAGTCATTATTATCCCTTTCGATTAGAGTCCTTCTGAACACTACAGTCTGTGCATCAGGAGCCTGCTATCACTGGGAACATTGTCACCTTGTCATTCTCAAACCTACCTTGTGCTACAATTAGGAAGGTAGTGCCCTTCCATACTCATTATAAGCCCCTATCTTACATAATCAACTATCCCTCCTCCTCAAAAACCCACACCCATACATCTCTGGGTTTTACTTTGAAGGATTACTATACATACTATCCCATGAACAACCAGAGCACCCACTGTTTTAGGAGGCAAAGCCTATAAACAAGTCCTGTGGAATCTGGGAGGATTGTGTGTTAGTTTGTTTTGTGTGTGGTTTTCTAACTACAGTTCTCATCATCAACACCGCCGGGGCTTTGCTGATATCAGCAGTGGCACATGGTGGTCAACGGATCAGCGACAGAAGCAGATAGAGAGTGGTGACATCAGATATGGTGGGGGAGCAAAGAAGATGAGGAGGAGGGTGGAGGTGACAAAGAGGTGAACTAAAATGGGGATCCAGAAGCAACCATCAGGTGAAAATAAAAAAGAGAGCAAGGGTCCCATGGTGGGACTGAGTAAAGAGAAAAGTAAGGGAGAACGACAAAAGCAAGGGTGCAATGTGTAGCCAGTGGCGACGTGAAAATTTGCCAAAATGCCAAGATGCCGAAAGTACCAAATGGAAAAACAAAGGTGAGCGCGACTAAATTGCCTAATAGAGGTGGTGCTGATCAGCCACAAGTTTGAAAAATGCAATATTAATTACTATTCCACATGGCAC